CCCTTCATCCCAATTTTTTATTTAACAGAATTAATTAAAAAAATAAAATTTATAATTCTTTCTTATAAAATAACAAAATTACTTAAATTATTAATAAAAATGACGATTTATTATGAAATTAAAAATTTCGGAAGGTAAAATATAATTTTCAAAATTAAAAAAGATAATTCGTATTTTAATCAAATTTTAAGAATTTATTTATAATTTACTCAATATGATTTGGAATTTGAAAAAAGAATTTTACTGAGTTTTAAATCCACAATTTTTTTTTTATTTTAGTTAAATTTTCTAACATTTTAATGGATGTCTTATTTATTATTTTGTAGATCCATAATTTTATAAATTTTTTATTGAACACAACAAAATATAAAAATGTATTGAAATCATCTTCTTTTTTTTGGCTCCATATTTTTCCTGTATTCAATGAATTTCAAAAAAATTAATAACATTTTTATACTTTTTAAATGTACTTAAATTAACCGAATCTATATATATATATATATATATATATTTTTTCAATTGACTAAAAAAAAAATTGAAATTTGATCCTAAATACGGTGATTTATTTTCACAAAGAATAGAGCAATTCGGGTATGTTTGGTTTGGTTTTGGGAGAGTAGTTTTTAAAAATTATTTTGGGGAGAGAGTTTAGAAATTTTTTTGGTTTGTTTGGTTGTGTATTTTGAAAGTAGTTTTGGAGTTTAGGAGTTTAGAATGATTTGATATTTTGTTATAATTGAGTAGATGTATGTGAGAGAAAAAGTGATTGAGAATGAGAGAAGAGAGAGAAAAAGTGATTGATTGATAGGTAAGAGAGAGAAAGTGATTTTGAAAATTGTTTTGGAAAATTAACAAACCAAACAAATTTTTAAAATTTTTTTTTTCCAAAATCACTCTAGAAATCCAAACCAAACATACCCTGAGTTTTTTGGTTTTCGTATTTTTTTATTTTTAGTGAATATTTTTAAAATTTTAAACATTTTTTTTTACTTTTTTAGATACACCTTACTTAGATATATGTAAAAAGTAAAAAACTTGTGAAAAAATATTTTAAAAAATTAATAAATACATAAAAATACAATAAATGTACTGAATTCTTGTATTTTTTTTTTTTTTGTATTTTTGATATTTAGTGAATTTTTTTTTTACAATTTTTTGACTTTTTAGGTGTAGTTATGTTAAGTGTGTCTAAAAAGTAAATAAATTGCTTAAAATATTAGCAGAGTGCAAGAATTAGCAGGCAAACTCTACTATTTAAGGAGAGTATATCGTGGATTCATCTATGAAACAAGTCAAACTAACTTAAGTTGAACCAAACACATCAAAATAGCTTAAATTAAGCTAAAAGCTGAAACAAGCTGAAAATAAGCTCTACCAAACAGGGCCAATACAGCTCATAGCTTTTTGTAAGTCAAAAACCAACTTATTCTTTGAGTGGGGGAGGAGGAACTTAATTCATAAATCAAAAATCAGCTTATGTTCACAGTTATAAGTTATAAGCTGTTAAACTATAAGCTATAATCACTTTCCCACAGCTCTACCAAACGGGACCAACTTCGTAAACTTGACATTTTTACGCGTAGCAAATTCTCATGAGCTTTCTTTGCAAATGTTTAAACCACACAATTGATTTGCCTAATTGTTTGATAGGACTTTAAACCTGTTTATGAACCTGCAGTCTGATTTTTCTAAACTTAAAACTAAACTATATCAACAACCATGTCCTATTAATGCTCAGCTTATAAGCTGTTATGGTGGTATGGTAGCTCAAACAGTCTCATAATTGGCCACTATGCTAAAATCACGCCACAAATTTGGCCTGGTTTGTTTTAACTGAACAGTAGTCCAAATGACTTGAGGAGGAAGATGATCACTGTGATTTTCTTGGTTTATGTATGAAGTTTTTCCTTTACTATTGGGTCCAGTGGGTTAATTGAATTCTAACAATATGATTAAGAAAAATCTGTTTTATAGTATGCTGACTGCAATATGGTGACTATGCAAAAACTAGCAGGAATATGAAGATTGATTCTTTAGCATGGGATTGGAAATGTTCGTTGTCGATGATTAATTTTTGTCACTTTGGTCATCACTGTCTATCAACCCATCCATGGTGAAGAAGATTGTTTAGGTAGATCAAGTTGGGCATTGTCATCTCCATAAACAATGATTTAACAACACGAGAATGTTCACTGCATGGTTGACTAATTTAATGTATTATTTTCTCATGTCTTGTTTATCTTAATCCACATGCGTGGCACGTGTCAGGCATATGGCTAATGTTTATCTTAATCCACTAACAAATGTTTGACATCGACATGTGTTGGACATGCGGTACCACTAATTGACTGGGCCTTTTCAATTTGGTATCAGAGTTTAGTTGAGCCTGTGATTGGTATGCCGTTTGTCCAGCTAGTGTATGTTGTGGTCTAAGAGGGCGTGTTGAAATGTGTCACACCATCGCCTGGAGTTGTCCCATCTGTATGTACCAGTTATAAGGTTTCAGCTCTCTCCTTAATACTTGGGTTTTAAGGAAAAGTATGAGCTGGGCTTTTCAATTCGATATTAGAGTTTGGTTCAGCTTGTGATTTCCAGCACATACTTCTCCTTAAAACCCAGGTATTAAAGAGAGGGAAACTAGAGTTTTATAACTAGCACAAATAGGGCAACTCCAAGCGATGTGGAACACATTCCAACACACCATCCTAGACCACAGTATACAATAGCCGGACAAACAGCACACCAATCACAGGCCCAACCAAGCTCTGATACCAAGTTAAAAACCCCAACCCACACTTCTCCAACCAAGCTCTGATACCAAGTTAAAAGCCCCAACCCACACTTCTCCTTAAAACCCAGGTATTAAGGAGAGGGAAACTGTAACTTTATAACCAGCACAAACGGGACAACTCTAGGCAATGTGAGATACATTCTAACACCACTTGTCAGACATACGTCTAATGTTCCTTTTTTAAAGTTTTGCTTGTTGGACCCTTACCAGACGCTTAGTTGAAACAAGTCTTCAACGCAAAAAAAGAAGTTGTCGTATCTTCAGCCAGAAGAACAATACCGGCTATTTTCATCGGTCAGCGACAAGATGTGATGAGAGGAAGAGAAATTTTTCTGTCCTCACAGCTTCCTCCTGCTTCATCTATTGTATATTCGTTGATTCTCTTCCCTTATATTGGATGACCCTTTTTATATTAAGCCTTTTTTTTTTTTTGTCTTGCTGTACTTTTTTAGGGTTCTCTCTTTGATAATGGAGTTTGTCCTACATTTTTTATTGTCCACAATTGTAGATGTTATTATTCTTTGTTTTTGTTCTTTTTTATGAGTAACTCTGTCTTGTACAAATAGTGCAATTGGTAACCTGAACCACATAGGCAGATCACATGACATGTGTCAACTTGGACATTCATATTGACATATATCTGGGTCTTTGTATTGGTGAAAAAGGATTAATCAAAATAAAACCTCAACCGAAAAGGGATTAATCAGGAGAGTCCTGCCAATGGATTAACACAATTGGCAATTGAACACCTCAAATACTGTCGAACTACTAAAAAGACATATAGAAGAGTACTTGCAAGAGAATACTGAAGAAGATTTTATTCAGGACTCAGGAAAACACTAACTTTGGAGAGAGATGGATGAACCTTTAGCCCCAAAACAGTTACTATAAAACCCTATTGCTCTCTCCCCTTCTCTAGATATAGATACACACACCTCATCTCCATTGTTCATCAATAATACATACTAGTCAACAAAGGATTTACTATTACTTTATCTTACAAGACTACCATACACAAGGAAAACTACACTCTATTAAAATAGCTTTATAAGGACGGAGTGAACTATTCACAACTACTAAAATATGTTCTACATATCTATTTCCTCCCTCCACACTGCCTGGAAGCAACTCTAGACAAGTCAAGTCAGCGACAATAATTGTGTGGCAAGCACAATAGGTGATAGTGGCAAATCTAACTGAGATAGAGTGAGGAGTCAAGTTGTTTCATTGTGTGAGAGAGAGAGAGTCTTGCAATAAAGTTTGCTTGCGACAATAATTGTGTGGCAAGCACAATAGGTGATAGTGGCAAATCTAACTGAGATAGAGTGAGGAGTCAAGTTGTTTCATTGTGTGAGAGAGAGAGAGTCTTGCAATAAAGTTTGCTTGCGACAATAATTGTGTGGCAAGCACAATAGGTGATAGTGGCATTGAGTTCAGAGGTTACTTTCCATGGATTATGGAAGAGTTGTGTGCAAGAAAATCCTATCTTTTTAAACTATTTGAAAGGCTGTTTATGGTGTTTAAATGGAGATGATAACTTCAAGTGCTGAATTTAACCTCATTTGCTTTTATTGGATTCAACAGAGGATATCCATGTCAGAAATCTGGAATGACAGGTGGTTTCTAAGGAACCTCCCAGCAGACCTCGTGGATGAAAAAGCAATGAACAACCAGTTTGAAGAGCCCGATCAACCCATGCAGAGTATTGAGGAAATCATGCAGATAATTGCTGAGGCTACCGTACCTGCAGCTGGGACGCAGAGTCTCAACCAGTATCTAACTGGCAGCCTTGATATCGATGATGAGATGGATGATGACCTCGATAGTGATCTCGACATCGATAGCAGTGGAGAAATAGTCTATGCAATGTGATTGTAGCACAGTCCCGCATTGGAGGATCAGATGATTTGGTCATTTCAAGGGACAATTGACACTTTCCGCTTTGTTCTGTATGTTTTCTATTTCCAACTGGCATTTGTAATTGTATGTACCATAACATGGTTATTCACCAATATGTTGTCCAATGCTTCTAATATTTGTATTATAACTTTGTCATCTTCTTGACTCTGGTTTAGTTAGTTTGTTGGATTTCATTAGGACCATGTTGTGACAAATTTGATTGGAAATTCCAATGGCAAAAGAAGGGGATTCGTTAGCTTGTTATTCAGTACAAATGAATGAAATGACAGAATCTACATAAATTATTCAACAAGCTTTGGGAGAAATTCCTGGCGGATCCCTAGAGATTCAAAAATCCAGCGCTTTATAAAGAATTCCATATGGAATGATTTTACAATCGGCCTGTTAATATTGGTTGACAAAGGACTTGATCATGTCAATAAAGTTCTTTAAACGCTCTTTTTTAAGGGTGAGTTCTATTTAAGAAACTTCTTGTTATTTGAGTATGTGATTAGATGTATTCGGCTCCATGTTGATTATGAATTTGCATCATTTACTTTATCTAATTTGAGTTTGTGATCAGATGAATATGGCTCCATGATAAGTATGAATTTGCATCATTTACTCTTTAAATACTTGGTCTAATTTGAGTTTGTGATCAGATGAATATGGCTTCATGTGGAGTTCACATAATTTTGTATTAGAATTAATTGCCATGTCAAGTATGGGGTCAAATGTATATGATTCCATGTCAAGTACGAAATTTGGTGGGTGTAACTTCGTGATTCAAGCCACCTGCTCCACGTCAAGAATGTATTCAAACACAAACTTATGAAAGTATGAGATCAATTGAATTATTGCGACTTTATAGAGGCTTGGCCAAATAAATTTCAAATCTCTTTCGATAAATAAAAAAAATAAAGAACAAAAACACAACCAAATAAATTTCTTGAAGTATTTAAGAGTGGGACAAGACTCACAGTATCATGGAATCATACCATTTTCTCTAAAAGAGTTTACAACAAATCTCTATACCCAATTTTCTTTTGCTACAAGTTGCGACTCTCATGTCTATAATGTCTTTTTCTCAACGGCCACAGCGAAATATAAGTTTCAAAACCACCCAAATGAATCACAGACAAAGCTAGCTGCAGCAAAACATCAAAGGATGGTGAAAATCGGACCTTGCATCTAATTAAGAATAAAGTGACATGTTTGAGCATTTGCGTTAGAGTCGACAAACCTGCCTTGGATAAGATTTAGTAGATGGCAGTAAAGAAAAAACACAAAAAACACAAAAAAAACAACGAAGTATTCTCAAATCTCGTGTATATTTCAACCATAAAATGCAGAAAAATCAGCACAACATATTTGGCCCATCACTAAAAGAACAACTAAAATTGAGAGCAAAACATTTTCCTCTGCTTTCAATATGCACATTCCAACAAAATAAATCTCTGAAGGCATTTCTCAGAAATTTTCAACCCTTGATTAATTGCACTACAACCACATTAGATAAGGTTGTACAAGTTGTCCCTATGTTGTCAAAAACAAGAACTCCTCATATGTTTCCCAGCATCTAAAGCACTAGATCATTTGGAATAAATACACGCGCACACACACATAAAAAATAAAAAAAAACCTCCTGTTTGGATGAACTGAAAATCAGAGGATTATGTTTTCTGACCACCTCCATCATAAACAGTTGAAACAAGTGTCACCTCGTATCATCTACAAAAACAGTTAAAAAATAAATATGATCGTATCAGATCATGTCAACAATGACATGAGACTCTGCAAAGAGCTATAATTTGTTTACAAAAAAAGAAAAAGAAAAAAGAGTTAATTTCATTTATTTCTGCACTGTCACCATTTTTTTCTATTTGATCCTTAAACTATAAATTTCATTTATTTAATTCCTAAAATTTCTAATTTCAGCTATATGATTCAATTGAAGACGCCATAAATTTGATGGACAAAAGGTTCATTTCAAAATATGAACAACTTAAACCATAATATTCATTTTTTTTATTCCCTATATTGACATGAGGCGTGGAGAAGAATATGAACATTTGGTTGCAAGGTGTAAGTTCTCTAATATAATGTGAATAAGAAAATGTGTGTTTGGTTGTATGATTTAGGTTGTCCTAATTACAAAATTACATTTCTACTCATTAGGTTAGGTTTCCACCATTACTGATTTAGATGGACGGTCTCTAATAGGAATTTGGACCATATGAGCTAAAATAAAAAAATTGTAGGGACTAAATAAATGAAATTGATAATTTAGAGATGAAATTAAAAAAAATGATAACAGTTTAGGGGATCAAAAGTGAAATTAGCTCAGACAAAAATTATGCATACAAAATTGAAGGAACCAAAGAAGGAATGACTTCATGTGATGGTGGTGATACATTCTACCATGAAAAAGTTCAAACAATTAAGCAAACAAATGATTACCTGTTCACCCCATAGAATTAGAGCTTATCATACTCAGGAAGACTCTGGTGGCAGTGGTTCCGATGCCTTTTGGGGCCTTCTATACCACAGAAATGCAAAATATAGAGTCCTCAATAATCCCCCATTTGCAAAGTGTGGAATAAAAATGCGCCCCCAGTAGGGGTAATATGGGCCTGGCAATTTGAGTAATGTGAAGAAAATTGCAATAGCAATCAGATGCCAGGGAACTTTTGCATCCTGATAATACAACCAGAAAAGAAAATCATTGTGAAAAACACACATACTACATAAGAAAGTAACTAATAAAAATTGAAATCAAAATATTTTAGACCCTTGAATTGAAGAAAACCAATTTGCGAGTAAGGCACTATTACAAGGCATCCCCACAAGCCGTGTTTTGGGTTGAGAGAGAGAGAGAGAGTACATGACACAGTCAAATACCAACATCTTGTGAGAGAAAAAATGTTTCAATTCAAATGTCAGAAGCGCCTAATTTCTCCAAATTGAAATTGTGATATTTTAGATCTCTGAATTGAAGAAAACCAATTTGAGAAATGAGGCAACAATAACGCATCCCCACAAGGGTTGATACTGTGTTTTGGGTTGAGAGAGAGAGAGAGAGAGAGTGAGTACATGACAGAGTCAAATACCATCATATTGTGAGAGAAAAAAAGGCTTCAAGATTTTCCCACCATAGGGCTATGGTTCAAATGTCAGGAGCACCAAGCATAATGAAATGAAGCACCCCAAGCAGATACATAATGAGAGTTTTTTTTGTTATTTTTGATAATCCAGGATATCTCCTGCCCAGCCCAGCCTAATTGGGCTCGAGTTGCCTCAAATCAAGACAGCTGAGAACTAATCCTAAAGGCCCTGCAGTTAACGACCAGGCAAACCTCCAATAACTTATTGGGACACTCATAATGAAAAGTTAATGTACAGCATCCTTTAGATCTACGTTACTAACAATGTTATGATGTTATTCAATAAGTAAAAAGGACAACATTTCTTGAGATATTAATCGACATCGTAAATTATTTCAACCTTGAGAAGTGGAGATAGTTCCAAGACCGTCTCTCGTAAGACCCCAGCGACAGCAACGCCAACTGGCAGTGGAATTGGAATAAGAAACAGCATTTTTTTGTGGGCACAGTACGACATCTCGCTAAGGGAAGAGACTGCAAGTACAGGTAAGCATAAGTATTTGATGACCGCCACAATAAGGTCAAGGATGAGTTGAATGAAATTTTCCAAAGCTCTGTTCCAGGGGAAGGTCTTGACTGACTGAGGAGAACTATCCCAAATTTTTCTCGCCTTGTTCATTATTCAGTCCAAATTTATTTTTTCAGGATTGCCCGACTGTCCAGCAGTCATGTTCATTGCACACAAGCTTTTGCGGTTAGTATTCTGAGATACTCCATTAGGTTTGAAACTTAAAATACAGCTGTGTATCTTAGTACAGTGTAACCACTCCTGCTACAAGAAAAGAAAGTTGTTTTTGAAACAAATGCATAACAAAAGAGTAAAAAAAATATTAAGAATAAAATTGAATTAGACCAAAAGAGGCAGATGCTTTGTTACTCAACAAATAAACAACAGATACTTTATCGATTCAATCACCATGCAGCTGATTTTCCGAAAAGTAATACTTCCCTAGCAAAGACAACTAGATAACAAATTAACTCTAGTGATTATAATCACAAATTAGCCCGGTCCAGTTGAGCTCTGCCTAGAGATACAAATGGATGTGCATTTTGAATATTCATTGTAGAAAATGGAAATGAGAATCCGCACTCAATAAACATCCTCCTCCTAGTAACCATAGATTTATCCAGTTACATAACCGCGAAAAAGCTTTATCTAAATAGAAGGGCTACCTAACCCATTCATTATCATCAGATTCAAATACTTTAGGTTCACTGTCTATCACATGAGTCCACAATTTGCAGTTAGAAGGCAAAAGAGATTAATTTTATTTAGTAGTAAGAAGAATCCCCAATTGGAATTATATTTATCCGATGGAATAAATATACAGTGCAATGATCCAAATATCATTAAACTCGAACATTTTAAAATCATTGGCCTTCAGTGGAGAAACTAAAACTAGCAAGGGAGACGGAGAAACACATAATATTTTGTTTGAAACTATGATCCGTCCTTGACTGGAGAACAAATTTTGACACCCAGTAGAAAGGTAAATTATCCAGTATAATAATAAAATAAAATAAAAATAAAAAGAGTTAACCACATTGCAGAGAAGAAAAAAAAATTTACTCAATCAAGGAATCAACTCCACAGGTACTATATTCACCCAAAAAAACTCCACAGGTACTATCAAACCACACATGTCAGGTTGCCCATCAATGCCACAAAAGGGAGAACATTTTTGTGAACATGCCCAACAAAATTCAACACTTTGTTTCAAACAAAATCCACTACTACTGCATAGACATAGGTTTTTCCTGTATATTTTAGCCTGTCAAAGTAGGACGAGGGCTTCCAACTTCCGCTTACAGTTGCAATAGATTACAGAGGGAAAATCCATGCTTAGTGGACAGGAAACTTCATCTTTGTGTCAATTGCTGAGTAGCAAAAGTGACTTTTGTATCTGAACTTCCTACTGAAAATGGGAAAGTTTTTTCTAATTCTTCTCAATATAAATAACTTTACTGTGCTTAGTAATTCTCCCATGAAACATTACACCTGTTATAATCTCAAATCCTAATTTTGAGAATTGAATACCTTCGAATCAGAGGGCCGCTGGTTCAGTAGTTAAAACTCAGGCTACTAACCATTGCATTGTCGGTTTGAACTCACTTTGGACAAATTATGCCACAGCTATGAAGCACGGATACTTCAAAAGGGGTGACGTATCCGTATCGGATACTTATCGGATACCGATACTCCTCGGATACTCGCGGATACGTATCAGATACTTCTTAAAAGTATCAGATACTTCTTAATTAATTTTTTATTAATTTTGAAGTATCGGATACTTAATTTTGAAGTATCGGATACTCGAAGTTATATATTACTTATAATATTTTGTTTAGTTCTTTGATAAGAGGAATATAGTGAGAGTTAAAGTAATAGAATTTGTCAAATTGATATATCCTTGTTGTCTCTCTCACTTCTCTCTCACTTTTTCACTCTCTCACGTTTCTTCTCTCTGCTCTCATTCTTTTTTTGGTGTTGGCATGTAAGGATGATGTTTAATTTGCATTTGCATTTGCTTTTGCTTTTGCTTTTAGTTTTAGTTTTGGATGTTTTATGAATGTCTGAGCACTTTTAGGTTAATAGGAATCCCTCTCCTTATTTATTAATTTACTTTAAGTTTTATTTTCATGCATATTACATTATTAAAATTATAAAAAAAAAAAAAATTATGAATGTATCCCCGCTGTACCCGTATCATACTTTTTCAAATTTTGACATATCGCCATATCCACATCCCCATATCACCATATTTGTATCCGTGCTTCCTAGGCTATCATTGATGACTTAAAAAAGTATATTTGCTGAAATTTTTATTTAAGAATGGTTTTTTTGCTTTGGCTTTGGCTTTAGCTTTAGCTAAGGTCTTGTGATATTCACTGATGAAGGGGAACAAGTTGAAGCTATTGACCTTGAAGACTCTTAGTTTTGTAGGAATCTTTCTTCTTTATCAAGTTGTCTTTTGCTTTAAGTTTTATTTTTATGCATACTGCATTACTAAAAATTGTTAAAATAATATTTTTTACGAACGTATCCCCGCCGTACCCGTATCCTAGTTTTTCAAATTTTGTCGTATCGCCGTATCCGTATCGTATCGTATCCGTATCCCGTATCCGTATCCGTGCTTCCTAGTGCCACAGGTTAGGTCAGTACCCAATCTACTAAAATGGGTGTAGTTTAGTTTAGTTTACAAACACAACTAGATAACATGTTTTCCCTGTACTCAACAAATAAACAACAGATACTTTATCGATTCAATCACCATGCAGCTGATTTTCCCAAAAGTAATACTTCCCTAGCAAAGACAACTAGATAACAAATTAACTCTAGTGATTATAATCACAAATTAGCCCAGTCCAGTTGAGCTCTGCCTAGAGATACAAATGGATGTGCATTTTGAATATTCATTGTAGAAAATGGAAATGAGAATCCGCACTCAATAAACATCCTCCTCCTAGTAACCATAGATTTATCGAGTTACATAACCGCGAAAAAGCTTTATCTGAATAGAAGGGCTACCTAATCCATTGATTATCATCAGATTCAAATACTTTAGATTCATTGTCTATCACATGAGTCCACAATTTGCAGTTAGAAGGCAAAAGAGATTAATTTTATTTAGTAGTAAGAAGAATCCCCAATTGGAATTATGTTTATCCGATGGAATAAATATACAGTGCAATGATCCAAATATCATTAAACTCGAACATTTTAAAATCATTGGCCTTCAGTGGAGAAACTAAAACTAGCAAGGGAGACGGAGAAACACATAATATTTTGTTTGAAACTATGATCCGTCCTTGCCTGGAGAACAAATTTTGACACCCAGTAGAAAGGTAAATTATCCAGTATAATAATAAAATAAAATAAAAATAAAAAGAGTTAACCACATTGCAGAGAAGAAGAAAAAAATTACTCAATCAAGGAATCAACTCCACAGGTACTATATTCACCCAAAAAAACTCCACAGGTACTATCAAACCACACATATCAGGTTGCTCATCAATGCCACAAAAGGGAGAAAATTTTTGTGAACATGCCCAACAAAATTCAACACTTTGTTTCAAACAAAATCCACTACTGCTGCATAGATATAGGTTTTTCCTGTATATTTTAGCCTGTCAAAGTAGGACAACGAGGGCTTCCAACTTCCACTTACAGTTGCAATAGATTACGGAGGGAAAATCCATGCTTAGTGGACAGGAAACTTCATCTTTGTGTCAATTGCTGAGTAGCAAAAGTGACTTTTGTATCTGAACTTCCTACTGAAAATGGGAAAGTTATTTCTAATTCTTCTCAATATAAATAACTTTACTGTGCTTAGTAATTCTCCCATGAAACATTACACCTGTTATAATCTCAAATCCTAATTTTGAGAATTGAATTCCTTCGAATCAGAGGGCCGCTGGTTCAGTAGTTAAAACTCAGGCTACTAACCATTGAGTTGTCGGTTTGAACTCACTTTGGACAAATTATGCCAAAGATTAGGTCAGTACCCAATCCACTAAAATGGGTGTAGTTTAGTTTAATTTACAAACACAACTAGATAACATGTTTTCCCTGCAGCAATGCCCCAAAATAAACAAAATTAAATCACCCAAATCCATTTGCTTTACATAAACATAGAATTTTTCATCAACATGATTGAATTTTCTGTACTTACAAACAAACCCATTTGCAAACTAACGCATCACAGTAGTGTGAATTATTTCAGAACCCATTTTCTGAATCCACAAAAACCCTCAACTAAACACACCCAGAGTGAGAAACACAAATCAATACACCACTTCACAAACACACACACACATATACATCAGGAATTCATGAATATGAGCTAAGAAAATTTTACCTTGGATCCATGAAAAGCATGAGAATTCAATCTGAGCACCATGGTGAGAATTGATTGTTGATGTTAAAGAGGATAAGGTTATGAAACCCTTTCGATATTGCTCTAAATTTTTCTCAGTTGAAGCCAGGGTTTAAGGAATGGCGGTGCATGGATTTAGTGTTGACGACCAGAGTGTAAAGTTTGTGTAGTTTCGCATAATTTGGAATCAGAACCGTTCAAGTTTGGCTAATCAATAAAAGTGCACTTATTTCATCTTTTTATCTTTTTTAGGTCACATCAATCAACATCTCCTCTCTACTTTTTCTACACATAATACAAAAAAATTCAAAAAGTGCACTTATTTAGTCTTCCCAAACTTGGCCCTCTCAGCTGTGGAATTCTGTACTAAGGCCTGTTTGGTTGAGGAATTTTGATTTCGCTTGGATGTTCTACTCTCATTTCAATCATTTGACTGGAGGATTTTGTTCCGCAAAAAGTTTTTTTTTTTTAATTTTTTTCATCTTTGGAAATTTATTTAACAATTTTATTAAAAAAAATTAATTTTTCAGATCAGCCTATTCTAGAAGAATTTAAAAAGTTTTTAAAAAAATCACAAAAATCTGTAAGTATTTTTTTTTTAGTTTACCTTTTTTTTTTTTTTTTTTTTTTTGGAGAACATAAAAAATATTTGTATTGAAAACAACAATAAAAAGAAAATGAGACTCCAAAAGGCCATACAAACTATATATAAAAAGAAAAAAAACAAATAACAAAACAACAACAAATAACAACAAAAAAAATAGTTATGGTTAAAGGAAAACCATTAATCTTCTCAAAAATGTATTTTGAAAAGTAAAATTTGTATCAAACTAAGCAAGATCTGTTTGAAAGCTTATCATCCCTATCGACGTCATCCTCATCACTGTTGCCCAACTTCGCTACTGCCGCCGCCGTACTTTGAACACTGCCAAAAATTAGAGTTGTGAAGTAGGTACATCTATAATGGTATGGAAGAAGGCTTGAGAGAGGAGGAAACCATTGTTGATGTAAAAAATTCAAAACTCTATGGAAAAATTGAGAGAAAAAACTCTCAAACTTCTATTTCAAACATAAAAAGTCTAAATTTTCACTTTATAAGATTCACATTTTAGAAGTGTAAAAGGAATTGCAGGAGTATCACCATAGTATCGTCGAAAATTTCCTAGAGAAAGAAGCTCTGCTCTCTCTCTCTCTCTCTGGAACTGAGAGTTGTAATCTACAAATTTTAAGAATACATCATTCATTTTTTTATGACAAACACGATAAATTAAATAGATTTCAATAATTAGATCAAGTTAATTTTTTTATTTTTTTATAAATGATATACACAAAGAAACCTTACAAGATAAATAATTCAAATTATCAGAACGGAACCTATGATACACCTTACGGATCCGAATAACATCCTCAAGTCCAAATCTAATAAACTAAAAATAATCCGGACCCAAAATTATAATTTAGACATCTTGAATAGGCCCATGAATCACTTTATTTGGTTTCAATTTTTTGAATTCAAATTTTAAAAAATTGTGTTTTTTGTTTTTCATATTTTTTTTATTTTTATTGAATTTTTTTAATATTTTAAACATTTTTTTTAATTTTTAGATCCACCTAATTTAGATGTATCTAAAAAGTAAAATATTTATAAAAATATTAAAAAAATCAATATCAATAAATATATAAGAATACGAAAATATATTGAATTTATATTTTTGATATTTAGTGAATTTTTTTTAAAAAAAATTACAAATAATATACTTTTTAATTGTATTTATATTAAATGTATTTAAAAAGTAAAATATTAAAAAAATTCACTAAAAAAAAATTAGAAAAATAAAAAATTTCAATCATCAAGAAGTGAAATTCAGGAAATAGGAACCAAAGATGAAGGTGACAAAATTACAATCAAACACTACTAATCAATTTATTTTTTGAGCAAATAAGTAAAACTGGACCGTTGCAACATCGTGTTCTTAGATTGTCGGACATCCAAGTGATATCATATATTCCAGTCTCTTAATTCATCACATCACATCATATATATATATATATATATAAGGAATGTTTTTTCCTTATTTAGGTGGTACATTTACATTCTAAAGATTTTTTATATTTTCTAAAAAAATCATATCATTATGCCTTTTTTAAATACTTATTTTTCATATTGATATTTTAATTTAATTATTATGATATTTAAAAAAAATTATCTTGTTATACAAATATATAAATAAATAAGACATAATACGCTTAATTATGTGCATCACACTAATCAAATTAATTTTCTTTTATATTTTATATTTTTTTTATCTTATTGATATCTTAATATTAATTTATGTTTAATTTTTTATTTAACATGAAATTGTTTATTACAAAACATTTATATTTAATTTAGGGGTTGTTTTTTTAAGGTCCCTCGTATTAAGATTTTATAGCATAAATGACATCTAATATTTTCATAATGTCTAAGGTCCCTCAAGTTGATCCAGAGAAAATTAGTCTAGAGAAATTTCAAATGTCTCTCATCTCTGGCCTCCTTAGCCTTTCATGGACTCTCCAGAGAAATTTCAAATTTCTCTGCCTTCCATATACTTCCCACTCTCCAGAGAAATTTCTTTGTGGCTTCTTTATCTCATCATTAAGATTGTTTGGTGAAATATTACCCATGTTCCAAAGCTAATCCATCTTGACTTGAATTTTACTGTTATTAGATTTGTGATTTTGGGTTATCTCGAGTGAAACACAACACATTCTTTCTTCAAGGTCAACTGCAAGGACGGTAAGTAGTACTTGTGAATTTGTAATTTAGCCCTATTCCTCTGCTGCATGCTAACCTAAGCTGCTCCCCATCACCACCATCTCCCTTTTTCTTCCCTTCTTATTTCCCAACTCTCTGCCCCCTCCCTTCTCCTTCCTCCCTAACCCCATTCAACACCAACCTCTCTCTCTCTCTCAATTCATAGAGCACTCAAAGAGAAGGATTGTGATGAAGTGTTCTTAAAAGGATTGGAGTGAGCTGTTTATGATCACTTAATTTGCTTCTCTTTATTACTAAATTTAGGTGAATGGGTTTTACTTCTCTTCAAGTTTGCATGGATTCATCTGATTGCCTCTAGGTATGCCATGCAAACACTTAAAATTAAATTTTGTAACTTAATTTAATGGCGATACGTGTTTTAAGATTAAAAAAATAAATAATGAGATATGAGACAGAGAATCATGCGCACAGAACCCATCATCATCATTATCATCATCATCATCATTATCCTCTTTTTTCATCTAAATCTCAATACTTCAATTTATTTTCTAAAAGTTTTCTAACATCCTCAGATTTTATTTTTATTTTCAAAAGTTTAATTTTGATGACAACATGGTCTAAGATCTAGGTGAAAGAGACTATTAAGCATATGTAATCTTTCACTGTAATTATTCAGTGTCATAATAAATTATTAGTGTTGGTAATTAAGATACTATGCACTCCCATAGCTTACAGTTCCAGGGGACTAAAATTGCTCATATAAAGTAGTTCAACTTTTATTCTCATGCAATCTAATGACACTAGAAACAAAACATAAATGATTTGTATATGAAAAATATCCATATTTGAAATAATAGTGTTGTGGAGTCCAGAGAAATTCTCTGGGTTGAGAGAATTTCTCTAGAAATATTTGTCTGGGAATTTTCTCTGGGTTGTGCAGTCCAGAGAAATTCTCTGAAAATGTTTGTCTAAGAATTTCTCTGGGTTTGGGGAGTCCAGAGAAATTTTGAAATTAAGCAAAGCTCGATCATCGACATATTGTTTCATCTCAGTAGTCATTCCTGACATACAAATTGGATCTGTTTCGCGTACAATCCAACTCTGCAAAGCCTTAATTCGATCCTCAAACGACTTCATAGTATTGGCAACAATCAGAGTTTCATCCAGATCAAACACAATTAAAAGACACCGTAAATTCAACATCCCCAAACAAGCATTATACAAACCGGACGGAACCGCATAGCACCAAAAACACGAAAATTTATTCTGCTTGCTCGGCATTGCCACCAAGTGAACCTCTTCGTCTCCGATCAACACCACCGCAGTCTACAAAACCAGCTTAAAACCAATCAATACATTCAAAATGAAACCTAATTACAAACAAATAAATGTATGTGTGATTGAAACCTTGAGTTCGTAAAAGCAAGAGGTGTGAAGATTAATCAATTGAGACTGTTCGATTGGAGATGTGGATTCGAGCTTGTATCAGACTGAATTTGAGGAAATTGTTTGGAGGATTACAACTCCGTCGAGACCACGATTCGTGGGTCTAAACATGTTTGAGCAAGAACAAGGGTTTTAGACGCCATTTTTGGGTGAAAAGTTGTTACTAGTATATATATATATATATATATATATTTTGGGGGTGTATCGACTTGAATTGGAATTGGATTGGACTGAGAGTGAGTAGCTTGTACGCAAGAAGAAGTGAACTCGGTGATGGAATGTTCGAAGAAGGCGCAGAAATCGTGGGCAAAGAAGTCAAATTTCTCTGATATATGTTTAGGGATCTTAGACATCAAAAAATAATTTTGTGGATCTTTTCCATTACGAAAAGTGGGAGAGGGACCCTAGACTAATTTTCCCTATAATTTAAATTTGATATACCTATATACAATATGTATGCATAATTTAAAAAGAATATTAAAGAGAGAAAAAAAAAATCTATACTTTACATATTTAATTTATATATTTTCTTCTTAATTTTCATGTAATAAAATATTTAAATATTGTCATATAAAATTATAATAAATTATAATCAAATACCACTTGAAGTATAATTAAAGACCCGATGCACCACTTTAGACATAACCAAAAAAAAAAAGAAAAAAAAAAAAGAAATTAGCAAAGACCTTTTCAATTAATAACTAAAATAATACAACATGAGTTATAACGAAGTCATAATTATTATAGAAATTTTCGTTATTTTTATTGGTTTTAGAAAAAAAAAATATTTTGATACAAGTGAAATTCATAATTTTTGATAAATTTGATTAACAGAAATGAGAATTTGATTTCGAATTGAGAATACACCTTTTCTTTATAACTTCAAAAGAAATTGTTTTTACGAGCCTTTTATATAGAATCACACAATGACCAAAATTTTCATTAACCATTAGCAAATCTATTTATATTTGACTTTTGATTATTAAAATTTTCTAAACAAAACACTAAAATTTAAAATCAATTTGTCATTGGATCAGCTACTAGTGTGTGTGTATATATATATACTAGTGGTTGGGCACACACGATGTGTGTGCAAATTAAATAAATAGGAATAAAAGAAAATAATAATGAAATTAATATTATAATGTGTAGTTAGTTTAAGTGGTATGAGTGCTCATACTTAAACCCATGGTCTTTTTTTAAAAAAATAAAAAACACTGCCACATGGCATGAGGAGAGTAAAGCAAGCTTCAGGACACCATATTATGTGTTCACTTTATAATAGTATAGATATATATATGATTTTCACTGTTTTTTTTAACATATCAGAGTGAAAGAAAGAAAACTTAAATCATGCGGCAATAGGACAAACACCTTGTTCATCCAGCCAAAAAGAGGACTATTATGTTTTTTTTTTTCACCATTTTATATTACTAGAATATGTGATAAAATATTATTTAGTTTCATTAATTTCTTAATAATTATCTTCGACAAGTGAACAAATCATGAGTATTTATGTAAGCAATGATACAACATGGTGACAAATGTACATATAACATTTCCCAACCAAATAAACTAAAAATGTTCACAACAAATTGAAGCATCACATTATTTATGATTAATTTAAGAAAAATTATACAAACTAATAAATCTTGTAATTTTTTATTTTTTTTTTCAATTTCCTAATGTGATGCTTATCATATTATTAAAATAAGTCATCTTTCAAATTTTAAAATTTATTTATTACAAGACACATCTATCATGTTATTAAAGTGATATTTCAAATCTCAAGATTTATTTATTGCAAGATACATTTCCAAGTACAAAATGTTTATAAGATTTAAAGTCAGTATAACATCACTATGAGCATAAAGAAAGGGAAAAGGATTGCCATTATCAAAGCAAATTGCTACTTCCAATAATATCTAAAGCATCTCATGAAGAGGAAAACAAATTAAAAACTTGATGACAACATAAAAGTCAATTAAACAGAAGTAACAGAGACCAAACCATTACTGCTTGCATTCCCACTGTGTGCTACTCATGTATAATAAGAACTCAAGCCTAAAAAGCAGACCAACCACCAAGCCTATTTATTACAAAATCTCTATCTCCAAGTTATTTTTCTTTTGAGAGAATTACATTATATCTTATGTCATGACTAAACACCATCTAAGGCTCTTATTTTGCAAGCAGAAATCCCGGGCTATCATTACCTGAAAAAACCAGCAACGCATTAGCCTAAAAGTATGTGCGGGTTATATGCATCCAATATTTGATAACTGAATATAATTAGATTCCAAATGAAGACTACTGCATCAAATTTTAACTCCAATGCCAAATCAAAATCAAAATTTCAAATTTTTGTTTCAGTTCAGTGTCATAAGGGGATGGTGCATAAAAAATAAAATAAAAAAAACAGCTGATATAAATAAAAAGTATAGTTCAGTCATCCTAAGTAGACATGGGATATGAATATGTATATATATCATCAAATCATAATCATGATTCCATGCTGGAGAGGTGAAATTGGTAGACATTAAGGTTAGATGGAGGAATTAAGAGTCGGGTGAAAAGGCAGATAAGGTAGAGAAAAAAAAGATGGCAGAGCTCCATGCAGTTGCCAATATCAAAGAAGACTTTTTGAGAGAACAGGTATATGTTCATTTATAGTTTAATCAAACATAGATCTCGCTGTAAACATGTCGCCAACAGGTTGCAACTATACATTAGCGGCAACAAGAGCATATGACAAAAAGTTGCAGAGATGGGTTGATCAAGTGCAAGAACGATGGAGAATACAATAAGTGACATTGTGCCATATGAAGGGGATCAAGGCGAAGAGAAGACAAAAACCTGAGTACGGCCACTTAGAGGCGTGTCGTGTCACGTACCAGTGTTAGACACAACCCTCTACTTACACTCCTAAAAAGTGTGTACGATACTTCGTTAATTTGTCTTAATTAAAATTTTAAAATCATAATATCATACACTTGACAAATACTTCAGTAACACTTACTGAACCCTTCGAGCACAACCTATTGGATGAATCTCTTAACAATGTTTTGTATTTTTTGAAATGCATCTTATGCACTCTAAATATGTTTTGAACATTTATGAGATGAACATGTATATTTCAATATTCTACAATTTATTTGCATTCTTTAGATCACAATTGTTATAAAAAAATGAGATCTTGATGTTTAAGTTGTGGAATATATGAATTTTAAATTTTAAATAGTAGTATGTTGCATTTTTTTTTCTTCTTTTATTACCTTTGAATAAAGAATGATATCTTTTACTCGTAGAATCATGACTAATGATATCTTTCAAAAAAAGGAGGCCGAATTGCTATCTCTATCCTCAGTGGTTGCATGAGTGTAGGTGATGGATCCTTGGATCATTTTATTCTTGCATTGTCACGTGACTTTGGATCATTGGCGTCGGCTTTTGTTTGGTTGATACTCTTTGGGTAATACTAGGCACTTGTGTTCAATTGATTTGAACTGATTTCCAAGGCTTTAGAGGTAATAACAAAACAAAAGTGTCATGGTATTAGTTCTCTCAATCTTTGGGTTATTTGGTTGGAAAAGAATACAAGAATCTTTGAAGACAAGTTTGATGATATGGAGTCATTGTGGTATAGAGTGTGTTACTTGTCATCATTTTGGGCTTCAGTTTCATCTGCATTTAAGGGATTCTGCAATTTTTGATATGTAGGAAATGGAGAGCTATTTGTGATGCATAGTTTGTTTGATTGTTAGGCTTAGTGTTGTTCTTTTCATGTGAGGACTTCTTGCCCTCATTTTGTACTTCTCTTTTATCTTTAATATATTTCTTTTGTTGTCAATCAAAAAAAAAACAAAAACAAAAAACTATTCATATATTTGATGTATAATACATTTATAAAAATATAAAATTTTAGAATGTCCCAAGTGTAATGTCCCCTATATATTTTTTTTAAATAGACGTGTCAGTCCCTGTGTTGTGTTATGTTGTACAGCGTGTGTGTGTGCGTGCGTGCGTGTGCCTGTGCATGTGCACCAAAAGATAACGTAGATGGAGGCTGGCCAAACAACTTGGTGGCTTAGAGCACCTCCACCTGATATGTCAAATCCAATGTGGCAGTCCAACAGCTCTATTTTGGCATACCAAATGAACTCCACCCGATGTGCCAAAAGCTAACATGGGTTTTGGCATCACCCTTTCACGCCTTTTCTTTTTCTTTTCTTTTTTCTTCAAATAAAAGAAGACTAGTTGTACACAAAGAGTTCAAATTTAAAAATAATAGAATAATAGATTTGACATATCGAGTGGAGAGCTTCTATATCAAATTGACATATGTCAATTTGCCACCCAAGCCTTTAAAAAAATTTGACATACCAAAATTTGACGGTTTAGGTGGAGATGCTCTTATTGGTCTATGAAGCCTTAATTAGAGATTAACAGCAAAAGTGAGCTTTTTGTATCCAATCTCAAGTGAAGATGAGGTTTGTCAAGTTGAGTTGAGACTCACATGATTACACGTCACAATGGAAAAATATGCTCAAGGAAACAAAGCCATGTAGTTAAGCCCTGTGCTCTCCGGAATTCCCATCATCAAGTTAAGATTCTGTAAAGCTTGACCAGAAGCTCCCTTCACAAGATTATCAATCTACGACAAAATAATTTAAATATTAACCATCAAAACATAAATACCAGTGTCCTGTACAATAAAAATGCAGTGAAGTATAGCATAAGCATGATGAAAACATACGACAGAAATTATTATTGCTCTTCCAGGAATTCGGTCAGGAAAGACATTCATAAAGCAGTAATTGGATCCGCGAACATGTCGAGTATGAGGAACTTCTTTTTCCTTTTGCAAAACTACAAACTCTTCATTCTGCATAAAATATAATAATAGAAGAAGAAACAGAATATTCAAAATTACACTTCAGCCAATTAAGATCACAGAAGTGGCTAGAATATCTCCATGGTCACTAATTTGAGTAATGATGCATATTTCTTGCTTGTCAGGTTGCTTAGTGGAAGTTTCTTCCAGTTACGAAACTATGAAAAGTTCTTGCTATATGCATCTTTCTTCTCCCTCCCCATCCCGGACACCACCAAAGAAAAGACAATTCTAATTGAATGTGGTGATTCTACAGCCACTGATGACCAGCAATGGATTCAATTAACACTCCAATAGGGCAATCAGGATTAATCCAGTCATAATATAGATGGCATACCTCATAAAAGATCCTCAGATGTTGGTACAAATCCTCGACTGACACTCCTGGGGCCAATTCCACGTATATAGTTGATTGCATACCACGGCTCTATAAGGAAGTGTAGTCAGTAAAAAAGTAAGGATAATAAACTATTTGAGCATCTGATCTGAGTGTTAACTATTACCATTGGCATCAAGTGAGGAGTGAAACTGACAGTCACTTCTGAATTTGCAGCCTCAGATAATCCCTGTTCAATTTCCGGCACTGAAAATCAACAACAGAAACCAGATTACTGCTACAAATAATGCCACGCAGCAGCTTTAGGCTTCACACGTCACTGAACATCTCCTCAGTTAACAATTAGAGCTCTTCAACAACATTAAACCCTAGTATAGCTCCCAAGAAGGAAAAAGGAAAGTGGCGACGGAAAAAAAGTGGCAGTTCAAAGTATAGAGATTTGAGACTATCCACAAGTGGACATAAGAGACCAAATAGAAAACTCATGTAAATACCATATGGCCAATATTGGTTCCAGGAATCCATTCACTAAATGGTTCTATTTGGTTAATATTTGGGATATATGTTCCAGGTTAAGGTGAACAAGGCAGTTCAGACACCATCAGAAGCTTTTATCAAAGTTCAAATGAAAATTCTTTTTCACCACATAACTATGAATTAGTTGAGAAAAAATACTTACCATGGCGATGCCCAGTAATACCATAAGAATGAATCCCTTCAGCTATTTCAGTGTACAAATTTGCCTCCTTGGCACCACGCCCTGCATATTAAGTCAACTATTAGAAATGACTCCAGTATTGATGCAAGTGGCATTAAGAATATATCTGAAAATGCAAGACTCTGTATATAGTTCTAACCTGCTCCGCTCACACCAGATTTTGCGTCAATAATAATATTTTTACTCTTAATGAGGTTAGCCTGCAAACAAAAGGAAACCCAGAAAAGCACAGGGCATTTAATGTGATTAGTGAGAAGAAGAAACTGCATAAACAGTACCAGCCAGAAATTATGCATTCCAATGGTAACATTCTATCCTAAAAGACGGGTGCAGCTAGGGTTCAAATGTTGGGTGGATCGTGGGTTGAGTTGGGTTTCAATTGTTTAAATAATGATTAAAATATTCTTTAGAATGACAGAACAAATAAAATTTGCTACAAAAGCCGGCTAACGGTATGCAATTTCAAAAAGCACAACAATGGAAACGGATAGTGTGTCTTGGTATCAGATCTTCCCATGTTCCGATCTTTCCATTTTTTTTACCCATTTCTTGGGTAAGGCTTCCCAACTATATTTGAAAATGCTCAGGACGGAGATAGGAGCTCCGAACCTACATATGCAACAACTGAAGGGATTTGTGGATAAGCAAAAGCCCACTATGTTTGTCCATATAATTATTTGAATATTAGTCATCGTGCCTTACGCCCCTAAAGCTTCAAAAGTGGTCCAATTAAAAAATTGAATATTAGTCATCGTGCCTTACGCCCCTAAAGCTTCAAAAGTGGTCCAATTAAAAAATTACAAAAATCCACATAAGAGACCAATCTTTTTTTTTTTCCTAGCAAAATCTCACTGCTTTTAGCACCAAATATATATATATATATAAATCCGCCATCCGTTCACCAGATTTGCGGATTGGAAAAAATCAATCCGCATCAATCGGCCAATTCGGCGGATGTGGATTGAGCAGAATGGCGAATTGACGGATGGATGCGAATCAGTTTGACGGTTTAAAATTTTATAAATTTTCAATATAATTCAACTTGTGCACTTCCTCCAAAAATATATATATATATATTATTATTAATAACTTAAAAAAATATTGCAATCACTGCATGCCTTATCTAAAAAAAAAAAGTTTGAAACTTTAGAATATTACAATCACTGCATGCGTCATCCATATATTACAATCACGGCATGCCTCATCTACATAAAGTATTACAATCTGTGATTTTTAAAATATAAAAATAATCCAAACAACCAAAATCATGAATAGAGCAATAGTAGAGATTGTATGCATTTGTATTGTTACATTTATATCTATTTTTGAAAACAAAAACCAACCAGCATATATCAACTTTTTTATTTATTATTTTTAGAGTTAGATTTAAAAACCAAAAAATATAAATAAATAATACATTTATTTTTTTCAATTCAAAAAATATATTTTAGTTGAAAACTCTTTTCAACAGAATATATTCAACATAATATTTAAACTCTTTTTCAATTGAAAATACAAATAGAATATCTAAACAAATTGAAAACACAAAATCTTACAAATTACTAGGGGTGCTCGCGGTTTGGCTGTTTGGTTGCGGCCAAAGAAACCTCAAATCCGCCATCCTTCCAAAACTAAGCGGATTGAAAAAAATCAATCCGCAACTGTCCACTAGTCATCATGCATCCGTCCAAAATGCGGCAGATCGCTTCGGTTCGGTCGGTTTGGGCGGATCGGTATATCCGTTGCTCACCCCTATTTCATGCCAATCAATTAAATTATATTCCTTGCTTATTGCAAGATTTTTTAAAATGTACTTTACCAATTGTTAGGCATTTTGTAGTTGGCGATCCCGTTGGACAAAACTCCATCCAATTGTAATTGCATTTGTTCTTTTGTTTTTGTGAAGACGAGCGTTTTAGATGCAAATCCAACCTAATTTTACTAGAGCAAAGGAAGTTGTGTTCAAGCAAGGAAAAAGTGCACTCAAGCCTCAATTCAAGTTTACAACATCTCAGTACTCTTGTGTCAAAATCTCACAAAATCATCATGTGTACTCGAGCGAAGAAAGTGGCGCTCAAGCGGTTAAGTTTTGCTTGTAACTTCTCAGAGTTTTAGAGACAAATCCTGCAAAGTCACGAAGTGCACTTGACCATAGAAAGTTGTGCTCGAGCGGTCTAAGTCGGTTTAGTCACTTAAAAGTACATTTTTAGATCGGATCTAAGTTGAGACATTCAAATAATCATCCCTGGCATGCGAAAAAGAGAAAGAGAGTTTTCTAGTGAGATCTACATGTGTACCTTGATGAATTGAGAGTGATCTATGAATCAACATGCTTAATTACACTTTCCTAGAGAGATGTTTATCGGTGGATTCTAGAGAACTTGAGCTTAGATGTTTCAGTGAATTCCGCAGTGGCTCATTATCGTAGATTCGACATTGGCATTGTGGATTCAAGGTTTGGAGAAGCAATTCCGAGGTGAAGATAGCATTAAAAGAGGCATGAGGGATTTAAGGCAATTGGGTGTGGATTCGCTAAGTGATTTTATGAATTCCTTGTGTAATTCTTATTCTTCTTGGTGGATTGCTTTGGTGGTCATTAGCCCGTGATTTTTTTATCATAATTGGAGGAGTCCAATTGTGGTTTTTTCCACATAAAATCATTTATGTCCATTATTGTTGCTTGATAGTAGATCTAGTACAATTTGGTGTGTTCACGGGTCGAGTCGGACCGGGTTTACTATATACTCGTCATCCGAACCGACAACCTCATGCTGGAAAAAGAGTTACCCAATTTCGACCGAACACATGATTAAAACCGCACAAAAAGATTTAGCAAATTTTCGGTCGGTGGTCAAAACTGACCACTCATCTGCTGTACTAATCTTCAAACATCTTTCCAGAAATCAAATTATTTCAAAAAAAATATATCCTTCCCATCCAACATCTTTCAACAAAGATTTAAATGCATGAGAGAAAGAAATATGATCTCTAGACATAGGAGCGAAACAAAAGGAGGGGATTGGCGAAGTGAGGGCTGACGGGGCTAGGGTTTCTTTTGAAGAGGCTTCAGAGACGCCACCGACAGTGACTATTGCATTGACTAAGGCAAAGTCAACTGTGGCAGCGACAATGGCAAAGGGACGACAGTGGGCAAAGCAAGCAATGACCTCTCCATTCTCCATGGCATTTTTTTCAAACTACGAAGGGACTTGAAAATGAGAGAGAGAGAGAGGGGGGGGGAACTTTCAAGATGAGAGAGAGAGAGAGGAGAGGGGAGGGGAGAGGGTAGGTCCACCTCCTGCAATAAGTACGAATTGTTGACATAGATATCAAGATTATCAATAAGTATGAATTGTAGATACCAAGAATATCAATTAGTACAAATTTGAAGATCTCTAGAATATATTAAATAAGGCAGAGCAAAAGATTTTTTTGTAATCTCTTGAGCCAATAATACTGGATATCTTATCTTCTTATTGTTGTTGGGTCAGGTTGATTGATTTTTTGGGCGGCTAATCTAACATCCGACCGCCAAACTGCAAAAACAAATGTTCTAAACTTGTTATCAGCTGAATCTGATTTCGAAACTGCCCATACAGTATCAGGTCGGGCGAATATTTGAACAGTCCTAAGTACAATTCTCCTTCAATTGGATTAGATCTATGATTGTTTGATTGAAAATTATTATTCATTGTCGATATTGAGTCATAGTCACAAATCACAATCTTAGGGATTTTAGATTTTTCACCAATGTTATTAACATGAGTAGATTGAATTTTTTAGGACCATTACATGGAGCAGTAGATTTTGGAGGGAAACACTTGCACAAAGTGGGCTTTTTAAAATATTGAGGGGGGCAAATTGAGTTTGGGTGGGCCATTACATGAAGTTCAAAATTTTTTGAAGGATAACCCATATATAAATGGACAGCTCAAGCCCAAGTCCAAGTCCAAAAAATGCTCATCCTCTGTACAAAAGAGTTTCATAACATGTGCATTTCAAATGCTTTAAACATCCAGTTAAGCATCTCGTCAGAATAGAATGTGTTTCATATTCATAAAATCATAAGAGTAACTAGAGCAACCAAGTAGAGTTTGGTCAGGACCCGATCTTGAAGTACAATAACAGAAACATGCCTTTTGTTTCTAATAGTATGAAAACCAGACAGATGGAAAATAAGCTTTTAAAAGTGTGCTTGTAGCAGAAAAGTTGAGAAACAAAATAGCAAAAAGAATAGATACAAAATAGCCAAAAAAAAAACTTTTCTATAAAGCCAAAAACAATGAGCTACAAGCAGGCCTAATTATTCAATTCTGGACTTTGACATTACCAATTTCAGCCAATTTAATGCACAACTGATTGGCAAGTGTAATCAAGAGTCCAGTCCTTGAAATGGTAAGGCCATTTGGCACAGTTCTCTTTTTCAAGTAAAACATGTCCTTTTCTGCTTTAGTGAGGGAGTGCCTACACTGGGAAAAATCTTCTTATCAAACCAGGCTGTCTGGCCTGCAGTTGCTGCAAGCCTTGGGCTTCTTGGCCACTTATATTATCACAAGCGGTCATTAAAATGTCTATTCATCTCATGAACTACCCTGATTTGGAAAAAGAACAGCTGACATACAACAAAACAGTTGATAGATGTCAATTCAGTTTTTTAGTGCTTCAGAAGATGAATCTAAAGTAAAAAACATACTACCTAATCAAAGACTCACCAAAATATTGCAAACTTTTCACACATTAAGCATGCCTAATGAAAAAGTTTTGAATACAAAGTGAACCTTTATCAAGGGAACAAGAGGAAGCTGAATAGATGTCGGATAACAGCCAGGATTTGCAACTAGATTAGCATCTTGGATTTCTCTTCTATAAATCTCAGTCAAACCATAGACAGCTTCTCTCTGGTCCAAACAAAATAAAAGACTTGTTCACATGCAGACCAAAGCAAGTTTAAGGGAAAGAAAGGAGTAATTGTCAAAAATAATGATAACTGTCAAACAGGGGGATACAAGAAAGGTTTAAAAAAATTAGCCCAACCTGCAAATCTGTTGCTCTATGAGGTTGTCCATACCATTTTTCATATTCCTTAATATCTTGTAGCCGAAAGTCCTGCATAATCATCCCAAATAACTATGAAATAAATAAAATCAAAATTTTGAAATTACCTACAGTATTCATGTATTCATGATAGAATGCAAAACTGAAGAAATGTGCATGCAGAGCATACTGCAGATAGATCGACAATCTTTAACCCTTTAGGAAGAGCTTTGATAATTTCCTGCAGAAGAAATAAATAATTTAATGATTAAAAAAACCAAGCTTCATGCTCGTACTTATTGATAATCAGATCAACAAGGATCTGAATGCATTTTCTGTATTAGGTTTTGGACATAAAGAACAATAAACTTCATGAGACCACGAAATGGTTGATTGAATGAGTGAAAAGATGTCATGGAATTACCTGTGTGGTACCATGAGGCAAACAACAAAACACAGCATCCACATTGGAAAAGTTTGCATCCTTGATAGCTATCAGATCTGGCAAATGCTGCAAAATTTAATAAATTCAAATATTGTATTATATATCGTCTCAATTTTTTTTAAATTGATGCATAGAAAGCACAAAATGATGCTATTTAAAAAAGGAATTCAGTGTGAGTGTGTTGCTTTAAGAAACTAGAATAAATGACCATCAGCTGCTTTATGGCTTGGCTTCCCACAAATATGAATAAGCTTACTATGGCATAAATTTTAGAATCCACAGGTAAATTTCCCTATGATAATTGAAATTATTTCTTTGATAACCATGCTATATGTGAATTTATGTGATTATCTAGAACTTTGGAATTGCAATCCAAAACAAGTGAAGGAACTTTCAATGAGAGAGAAATGTTGAAGTTGCACAATCAGATTAATGAGCATCAAATAAATGGTACTACCTACCAAGTATCAACATTAGAGAACAAATTTCAAGCAGAAAGAAAGCTACTAGGAACTAACAAGCATTTCAAACTACTAATGCGGTAGAAACCAAACTTTGAAGCCTTAAAATAAAACCCACAAGGTTAAAAAGATTACTTGTGTTGCCAAATGAGGAAATACTGATCCAATTGATTGGCCAGCTTTTCTATCAGCAGTCATTAAAGTAATGCCAAAGTAAGGATGATTAGCAAGAAGTCGAACAATCTGCAAAAAAAGGATAATTTTATGTGTTAGCAAAAACATTGAACATATTATGCTGGTACAAACTCTCAAAGAACTGATAAAATCAAAAACTTGAGGTGAAGGGACTAAGGGTGAAGCTTTAATTCAGAAAATCTTTATCCATGTGTTAATTTTCATTCCTATGCTCTCATGTTTCATTTATAACTTGCTCAACTACAATTAGTGAAACCAGTTTTGTTTTGTTATTCCCATTTGTCAGATATCATGGCCTCCATTATAGCAAGATCATATATGTCTCCAGCTGAACTTAAAAAAGACATCCACTTTAGTATCAGAACTCAACTACAGTTTTCAATCTGGGAACTCTAATTTCCTCAAAACACTTACACTTTCAGTTTTAGGTTTTCCACTTACTCACTAAGAATCTTTTTTTAAGTGAGAAAAGGGAGGCAGGTAAGCTTTTGGTATGATCCGAGGTGCTGTCATAGATGATAGACCTTTCCTGGAGTTATTTCTTGATCTTTTTCGGTTGGCTACCAATATGTTTGGGATTGCAGAGGATTATTTAGAGGTGACTACGACAAGTATTATGTGGAGTCCAAAGTTTCGGAGGGCCTTGGAAGATTGAGAGGTTGATTCGATAGAGGCTTCTTTTGGATTGTTGGGGCGTTTTGAAATTAAGCTTGGCAGCCAACAAGCTTTGGCATGGAGGTCACCGAGGGGTGACTGTTCTCGGTTTGTTCTTATACCGGATGCTTAGAGGTGGCACTTTCTTCCGTGTTTGGGAAGCTATTTGGAGGTATAAGGCCACTCCAAATGTCACCTTCTTTGCTTGGACAGCTTTGGTTGATGCTATATTGAATATTGACAATATTTGGGAAGAGACGCAAGGTGAGAGAGCTATGAAATTTGTTGCACACACAATTACACATAAATATGTGCATGCATCATGAAAAGTTCAGCCATATGCAAATAAATACAAATCACAATGAAACCATGCATGATTAGAAAGAGTGATTCATATCAAAATCTGTTGACAAGTGTAAGCTCTACAGATAACAGAGTGCAATATACAAAAAGAAGACAAAATTCTTTACAAATTCAACATAAGAGTGACCTCTAGAGCTAGACCCTAAGGGAGCCAACACCCCGGAGGTCACCTTAGGTGATGCTACAGAGCAGGGCCACACAAACTGAATTGTGTAGTGGTAAGTTCCGGACTTGCACATAGGCGGGCATTCTAAACCACACTCCAGATACTGGGTATTGTTCGCCCAGCCTGGCTGGCCCTAATAGGAGTCGAACTCGGGACATCGGGCTTACAAATTCAAAGATGGTGAGCAATCAAAAATTGAACCCCACCCCTTCTCTCCTCACGACCACCCAAAAGAGAGACTTAAAAGAAGAAAAGAGTTGTACCTCTGAACCAGTGTAACCACTGGCTCCAAGAACACCAATTCGAACAGTCTTTTCAGGAATCTGCACTTTGGTGTTTGCAAACTGCAAGCCCTGCGGTGTTGAGGCCACTGAATTACAAACATACAGCTTCCTACCCTTGGAACTTTTCACATCATCCTACAATTTCAAACACATAATTCTAGAAAAAAAAAAAAAAAAAAAAAAAAAAAACTCCAACAGACCTGAAGTAAATAACTCACACTAGCTCATACTTCAAACTCACTCCCAAAAAGAAGTAATTTTAACCGTGATATAAAGTCTAAAAGGAAAAAAACAGACAATTTCATCTACCAATCTGTTTAGTTGGTCGGAAAACTGAGGAAGAAAAGAAAAGAAAGTTGAAATTAAAATACCTTCCGAAAGCATCGACGGTCGAAATAAACGCAACCGTAGGAGGCGGCAGAGCTCATTTTCAATGGAGAAACTGAAGAAGTACCCACAATACAGAAATTGGGGTATATGATCTTGGATTATGGAGGGATTTACCTTTCAGAGAGAGAGAGAGAAAGAGAGAGAGATTCCTCTAGAGTGGGATTTCCTGAAGTGATCCCTGAAGTGAGTGATCCGACGGCTCAAAATATTGGTTAGTAATTTCAAAAAAAAAATTAGAAATGTGAAGACAAAGGAAGAGTTCATCGGCTGATATACCAAGAAAGGAGGTTAGAGAAAAAAAAAATCCTTTACAGAGAGAAAGGGAGGTGGGTCTCCTTCTTTCCCTCATCAAAATGTCATGAAATTCTTCTACAGCTCAAAAACACAGAGAGAAAGAGAGTGTTTAGGTCAGAAAATTTTCCTAATTTTTGGAATCAGAGCCTTAATATTTTAAGTTTGGAGGATGATCGAACCTGTGGTTTTCTTCCTTCAATCTGTTGGAGTATGGCGGGCGGCGTGGCAGCGGCAGCGGCAGCAGCAGCGGAGTTGCAGCGGCGCGTCGGGGGGTGGTTGAGAAGAGCTCCTCAAGCCTTTTTTTTTACTCTCTCTCTCTCTCTGTAATGCTTCATATAAGATCTGTTTGAATTTGCTTCGTATAAGATCTGTTTGAATTAAGGTTTGGCTTGAATTATTTGGATTAAGTCCAAGTTTCACATTCTCTAAAAAAAATTTAAAAAGGTAAAAGGTTATTATCTTATTTAAGTCATATCATCTTATTTAAGTTATATCACTTCTCTAATACATTACTTTAAACTCAATCCAAATCCAACCCATATTTCATGAAAAGTCAAAAAATACTCTTATTTAGTCTTCCCAAACTTGACCTTTGGTTTGTGTGTGTGTTTTTAGTGAATATTTTTAAAATTTTAAATATTTTTTTTATTTTTTTAGATGTACTTTACTTAGATATATTTAAAAATAAAAATTTTGTGAAAAAATATTTTAAAAAATTAATAAATACATAAAAATATAAAAAAATTTACAGAATTCTTGTATTTTTGGTATTTAGTGAATTTTTAAAAGATTTTTTTTTACAATTTTTTTACTTTTTAGGTGTATTTATGTTAGGAGTATCTAAAAAATAAAAAAAATGCTTAAAATATTAAAAAAGTATTTTTTGAAAAGTAAGAAAGTAAAAAAAAACACGAAAGTGAAAAACAAGAAAGTAAAAAAATGCTTAAAAACAAAAAAATACGAAAGATAAGAAAGTAAAATTTTTTGAAAAGTATTTTTTAAAAAGTGAAAACAAGCATGGTGATTATTTTTTTTATTTTTTTATTTTTAAAAAATTACTAATCAAAACGATATCGTTTTGATTAATTTTATTTTGATCCACTTGATCACTCATTTCAGGGATCACTTCAGTAAATCCCATTCTAGAGGATCCTGGTATAATCTGACTGGATTTTTTCACCAACCACACGCATGGCTTTTATCTTAACTTCTATTCTGTTTCTCTTTTATTTAATTACCTCTAAGGAAGTCCTTATGTATAGAGCTCAACCACTAGTCTGATCTTTTATATTTGTGTGAAAATTAGTTAAGGTCTATCGATTAATCACTGTCAATTACGTTTAAACCAAATTTTTGCTAACAAAAATGTATCTACATTTGAAAACGTAATAAGACAATAGTACACAAATTACAATGATATCTTATTGTCACATTTTAATAATGACACATTGGTCAAAAGTTTAATAAAACAATAATGCACAAATGTCTTATTGTTACATTTTGAAAATAATGACATATTTCAAAGAAAAAAAAAATGATAAGACAATAGTAAACACATTATAATGATGTTTCATTATCACATTTTAAGAATGATGCATTTGATAAAAGTTTAATAAGACAATAATACACAAAAATTCCATTATCACATTTTAAGAATAATGACAATGATTGGGAAGAATTAGACAAAAGTTTAATAAGATAATAGTATACACATTAGAATAATGTCACACTATCACATTTTAAGAATGACAAAAATTTAATAAGATAATAGCGTATAAATGTCTCATTGTCATATTTTAAGAAGACTAACGCATTTGACAAAAGTTTAAGGGTAAATTACACTTTGCACCATTGCACTTTACACAAAATCTCACTTTAATCCCTACACATCAAATTATGACACTTAACCCCCTGCACTTTTGATCAAGTGTCACATTGGCCCTTTTCTTAATGCGGCGCGGGTTGGGCGGGTGCGGTTCAAACCCGCAAATCGCTCGCAATCTGAAATTTATATAAAATCCAAACCGTACCCTATCCTAATGTGTTTGCGAAACCGCACACACGCGTGCGGTTCGGATCGGGTTAGGTGGATCGGATAACCCTATGCCCAATCCTAAAAGCAATAGTGTTCACATTAAAATAATGTTACTAGTAAATTACACTTTGCACTTTTACACTTTGTATTAAATCTCACTTTGGTCCCTATACATGAAATTGTAATAGTCAACTTTTTGCACTTTTGGTCAAATCCCACTTTGGTCCCTATACAAAAAATTATGACAGTCAACCCCTACTAGTCAAGTGTCAATTTTCCCCTTACATTACTTCATTATTTAAGTTTTTAACAGAATTCAATAATGTAACAAACATGTGACTACAAAATGAGAGCGGGAAAGGAGATCGTTCTCATTTTCTACCAATATATACTTTGTCCTCCGTAATAAGTATGTGAGAGTTATATAATACAATATGTGTTTGTGTGTGTGTATGTGTTTATATGTTGAAAGTGAGGAGGAAGAGGTAAGAAAAATAGAGCTTTTGAAAATCAAAAAAAAAAAACGTGGCAGAGAAATCGTAAACTTTGTTACTGTAGAAAACAAAGTTTCATTATTCAAATTTCTGCAAAACCCTAGTTTATCTCCTTAATTGTTCATAATTTACGTTTTGTTTTAGCTAAATACAATCAAAATTTGATGTAAATTTTAGGACGAAATGTGTATAGATGATAAATTTTTTGTGATTTTTCTCTTTTACCCTCAATTTATAATCATATGCTTGTCACATTATTAACTTCTGTTAAAGACTTACATGATGAAATAACAAAATGAAGACATTGACATTTGACAAGAAGTGTCGGAAGTTAATTGCTACAATTTCATAAGTATAGAGAGTTAACTGTCTTGATTTCATGTTGAAGGACTAAAAGTAGATTTTGACAAGAAATGTAGGGGTTGACTGTCATAATTTCATGTGTAGAGACCAAAATAAGATATAGGAATGTTTTGGGAAGATGGTTAAAAGTTACTTTTTGACTTTTTTGTGAGAAAGAAAAGTGGGTTAAAAGTTGAAAAGTGACTTTTAATCCACTTTCCAAAATAGGCCTTAGTGCAATGTGCAATAATGCAAAGTGTAATTTACACTAATGTCGCATTATTACATTTTGAAAATGACACAAATGGGGCATATTCACATTTGGGATCTTCAGAAAATATAGTGAAAGGACCTTACGATGTACCTTTTCAAATTTAATAAAACTTAATAGTCTACAATAAAATTCATGGGACTTCTGGTGCATACTATTACGATACGAGACTTTTTGGTACAAAAGTTTAATATTTTAATTATTTTATTTTTAAGATTTACTTAATATAAATACACTTAAAAAACAAAAGGGTTGTTTGGGGTATCCTCAATAAGTGTATTTTTTGTCTTTTTGGACTAAAAAATTGAGGAAGAAAATATAGATATTTGGGTTAACTTTTTGACTTTTTATGGAAAAATGTATAATAAAAAATTGTAAAAATTGGTTTGCAGGAGAAAATTATGATTGGGAGTTGTACAGCTGTAATTGTTGACTTTTGATGAATAGTGTTAACTTTTTAACTTTTTGAGTAACTTTTTGGGTTTTTGACTTTTCCTGGACATGCCAAACTTGGCCTAAATATCAACAGAGAAATATTAATAAAAATTTTAATAAATAAAAAAATTATAAAAATATAAAGAATTTAATGTTTTTTGTATTTTTTTATATTTGGTGATTTTTTTTAATATAAAAAAACAAATTTTGTATTTTGTAGTGTCTCTAGATTAAGTAAATTTTTTTTAAAAAATAATTTAAATATTTTTAAAAAATATCACTAAAAACTAAAAAATACATTGTCTCTAGATTAAGTAAATTTTTTTTAAAAAATAATTTAAATATTTTTTAAAAATATCACTAAAAACTAAAAAATAGATGTCAACAAGTCAAAACTGTGTTTGAAAAATTCAAAAGCAAACAGAGTAATTTATTTATATATTTTTATTTTGAAATTCCGAATTTAAGTTCAAAATCATGTCTTCATTACATTATTAAGAAAAAAAATTACAATAAAATCGTGTTAAAAAAAGGAACACTAAAGTCAAAGGTGTGTTTCTAAACTTTTGAACATTTGATCCAAGTTTAAATTTTTCGGAGGTAAAAGGACATTGATTTGTTTAAAAAGGCACCTATTTATCTATTTGTTAAGGTGTCACCTATTTGGTCAAATATTATCTAATTGTACATGTGTCATTTATCTATTCAAATGTCACCTGTCTATTCATATATTTATTTTCTTCATTGCAACCAGCCACCACTAGCGTCTTTTAAGTTAATTTTTTGGTGATTTTTCCAAACATATCCTTATCACCAAAAAAAATTAAATCTTAAACTAAATAATGTAGGATCTCATAGGCGTAGACGTTTCACCTATTATTAACCCTTTAAAAATATGTTTGTATGTAAAAACCAACTTCAATAATCATGTACGAAAAACACGATATTAAAATGTTTATTTGGCTTGATTTTTCAAAAATTATTTTTAGATGAGTTATCATTTATTTTTAGTAATTTTTTTTGATATTTTAATCAAAGTTTTGTATTTTTTAGATGCACCTAATTAAGATGCCTTTAAAAAGTAAAACAAATTGACTAAAATATTTTTTTTTTAAATATTAAAAATAAATGAAAATTCAAACAAAAAATTGTGTGCATTTTTGCTCTGGTTCTTGTTTATTTTTAGTGATTTTTTTCAAAATTTGGTTTAACCTTGTCACTTTTTAGATCCATCTAATTTTGACATATCTAAAAAATAAAATAAATAAATAAGAAATCAATAAAAACAAAAGAAAACCCATATAAAAATATGGACAAATTGTGACACTAGTCATTGTATTTTGGACTGTATTATTTTGGTCCTTATAATTTCATTTGACTCGATTTTGACTTTAAATTTATGATTTTGTTTCAATTTGATCCAATTGATTACAACTCTTAGCATTTTTTATGAAAAATATACATAAAAGTGGCATGTGTCATATTTTTTAGAGTAAAATTATAAATTTACTAAACTCAATGAGATTAACTCAACTAATTTAATAATTATTTTTTGTCAAAAACATTAACGATATTATCAATTAGACCAAAATAACACAATTTAAAATTAAGAATCAAAATTAAACCAATTGAAAGTGAAAAGATCAAAATGATATAAGAATCAAAATATAAAATCACCAATATAATTTATTTTAAAAATAAATTTTGAAAATTGTAACCGAACAAAACCTTAGATTTCGGTAAAGTCATGGGACAAATCCACCTTTTCATTAACACGATCCAGCCAAAGATTTGCTTATTTCCATAGATCATGTTTGCCATCCTCAGGACTCCTGTGCTAACACTATTTTAATAAAATTTTTAATTTAAATATAAGGTAAAAATAAGGGAGATTTTTTTTAAGGTCCCTAATAATAATAATTTAGAGGATAAGGACACCCAAAAAGATAGTGATGCATCACATCCCTGAAACAACTTGGCGCGCGTTTTTAATTATTTTGTGGACCAAAATACCCTTGCCAAAATCAACACAGAAACAAACTCATTCCGACGTCTGAGTTACATTCCAAACATCCAGCATCTTCACGAACAGGAGAACAGCAGAATTAGGGTTTCAACATCATCTGCACCATCGACATTAGAGTTTCGTTATTTTCTCCAAAAATCATTCCCATTCCTTCCTCACAAATTTCTCTGACCTAGGTTAAAGCTTCGTTTTCACTGCTCATCATCATCTCAGTCCATCTTCGTCACGTCACGTCGCGTCTTCATCTCGGGCCATATCAGCTCGTCATTCAAGTTTCATCCTAACTCTGGTCAGTTTTTCTACAATACAACTAGATTTACTCTGGAAACACAGTTAATAGCATTTTATAATAATCTTCCATAAATTAGGGTTTCAATTTCGTAATAAAAAGCTACCTGAATTTGGAAAAAGTTATTTCTGTGTATTTTGAACTTATTCTTCAACATGTTTGTGTGATTTTATCTGTAAATTTCTCTGGCATTTGAATTTCTCTGATTTTTTATTAATGTACGTTTCTTCTTTCAATTTTCTCTGGCATGTTTATTTTCACAAAAATAATTTTTTGTGTTTTTATCTTATTCTTGAACATGTTTCTGTAATTTTGTCTATAAATTTTCCTGCTCCGTAAATTTCTCTGTAATATGTATTTTTAATTGGAATGTCTATTTTAATCTGGAATGTCTATTGCTTTCTTGCCTCTGTCTTAAGTTTCTCTGGTATTTATAATTTTCTCTGACCACATCACATCACTTTCCTCCCTTGTGTCTTTGTCATTTTTAATTTTCTCTGGAATTTTAATATTATGGATTGGAATGAATGTTTCTCCTTTGAATTTTCTCTGCCATGTGTACTTTGAGAAAAAGTTATTTCTCTGAATTTTGATCTTATTCTTGAACATGTTTCTGTCATTTTGTCTATGAATTTCTCTGCTTTGTAAATTTCTCTGGAATATGTATCCTTCTCTGCAATGTCAATTACACTCTTGCCTTTGTCTTAAGTTTCTCTGGTATTTATAATTTTCTCTGACCACATCACACCACTTTCCTCCATTGAGTGTCTCTATCATGGTTAATTTTCTCTGGTTCTGTATGTAAATTTCTCTTGCATTTTAATATTATGAATTGAAATTTTCTCTGGAATGGAAATTTCCTCAAGAATGTGTAATTTTGTCCGGAATGTGTATTTTTCTCTGGTATGTTTATTTTGTTCAATTCTTGATTTCAATATGGTGTAATTCTCAGTGGCATGTTTACATTACTTTGTTTATTTTATCTTTGCTAATTGTGGAATGCAAATTTTCTTTCACTTGTCATGTTTACTTTTTTCTATCATTCATTTTCTCTGGTATGTTTACTTCTATATGTAATTTAAACAATTATTGAAAATTTCTCTCCCATGTTTATGATGCTGTGTTGATTTTCTCTGACATTTAATTTGTAATGTCCAATTTTCTCTGGCATGTCCAATTTTCTGTAATTTTTCCTTATCTGTAATTTTCTCTGGCATCTCCAATTTTCTGTTTTTTGTAATTTTCTCCCTTATCTATAATTTTCTCTAACATGTCCATTTTTCTCTGGGATTTAATGTTGACATCTTTATGTTTTAATCATTGTCTAGAAATGGCAAAATGTAAAAGCAGCGAAACACCGGAAACACCAAGCAAAAAATAAAAACTCTCTCAGTCTTCTTATGGACGAGGATCAAAAACCAGCAGCAAAACACTAGAAACACCAAGCAAAAAATAAAAACTCTCTCAGTCTTCTTATGGACGAGGATCAAAAACCAGCAGCAAAACACTAGAAACACCAAGCAAGGAAGAACAACTCTCTCAGTCCTCTTATCATCTAAGATCAAAAACCAGCACTAAAATACCACAAACTCCTTCCCAAAACACACAAGTCCAAGCTGATGAAGCAACTAGCATCCAGATGAGTACCCCAACTTCAAAAGACTCAAGCTCAAGGGGGAAAAAACCTGTTAAACTCCACAGAAAGAGAGCTCACTACAGCATTCAATTCCGATCCAACCTCTCATCTGTCGTCTCCTTCTTTCAAACACTTAAATTCAGTTCAAAACATCTTCTAGAGCTTCAAAAGACCCCATTCTGGTATTTGATCCAAGCTCTAACCACTGGAAGGATGGATCCAAAGAAATCTAGGAAATCCGATGATGATGTAGTTGCCATAATCCAATATTACAATGAAAAAAGAAAAGCATTCACAGTTGGGAAGAAGAACCTGACCTTTACAACAAATGACATGACCTTGATTTTTGGTTTGGAAGGAGGTAAAGGAGCCATGTCATTAAGATACTCTAAAAAGCCAAAATCTGCATTCCTCAGAAGAAGATTCCAAAAGGACACAAGGCTCACTGGTCCTGTTCTTAAAAATGCCTTGGTCAAAGCAATGAAAGGCAAGCAACCAACTGACTTCAAAGATGTAGCAATCATTGTTACATTGTACTTGTGTCTCACCCTATTTTTTGCAACAAGTGGGAATTCAATAGGTTGGGTTTTTATAAAGTATGTGGAACCTCTTGAAGTTTCTCTGGTATTTACAATTTTCTCTGACCACATCGCACCACTTTCCTCCCTTGTGTCTTTGTCATTTTAAATTTTCTCTGGAATTTTAATATTGTGGACTGGAATGAATGTTTCTTCTTGGAATTTTCTCTGCCATATGTACTTTGAGAAAAAGTTATTTCTCTGAATTTTGATCTTATTCTTGAATATGTTACTGTCATTTTGTATCTGAATTTCTCTGCTATGTAAATTTCTCTGGAATATGTATCCTTCTCTGCAATGTCAATTACACTCTTGCCTCTGTCTTAAGTTTCTCTGGTATTTACAATTTTCTCTGACCACATCGCACCACTTTCCTCCATTGAGTGTCTCTATCATGGTTAATTTTCTCTGCTTGTGTATGTAAATTTTTCTTGCATTTTAATATTATGAATTGAAATTTCCTCAAGAATGTGTAATTTTGCCATCCAAATTTCTCTGACCACAATTGTAACATATTAACTTATATGCCCTGATTGATTTTCTCTAATATCTGAATTATGTTGGTTGTTTCATAATTTTCTCTGGCCCATCAAATTTTATCTCCTTATGTGTAATTTTCTCTGCCCAAAACTTATGTGCCTTGCATCTTTGATAAACACTGTTTATTTCTACCCTTCTAATGAATTTTCACTGGAATTCAAATTTCTCTAACACAATTATAGTAAAATATTAACTTATATGCCTTGATTGATTTTCTCTGATATCTAAATTATGTTGCTCGTTTCATAATTTTCTCTACCTCATAAATTAACTCTATGTCTCTAATTTTGTTTGGCCCATACAATTTTCTCTGAAGTTTGTTTCCCATTAGTATCATTTAGATGAATTTTATTTTCCTTATTTGAATTTTTTCTCTCAGTGAATTTTGTAACATTTCTCTAATAAAAGAGTCTCCTGTTACAGATAGATAACAAGCAGATAGTCAAAAACCCATCAGAGGAGTTCTGTCTTGGCAAAAAGACGAAGAAAGAATTAAAAAAGGCAATTGTCAAATTCAAGGAGACATTACAAGATCCATCTGAAGATCGAGGGAATGAACAAGCAGAAGGCAACACAGAAGAATACGAAGCCAGCAATGGACAAGAACATCAAGCAAGCAGAACAGAAAAAGAAACCAGTGAAGAAAATGAAGATATAGAACCAGAAGACAAAGAACAAAATGAACAGAAAGAAGAAGACAGTGAACAAGAACATGAAGAAGAAGATGAACAGCAAGAAGAAAACAAGGATTAAAGTGATGAAAAAGAAAATAATGAGCCGATGGACCAACAACATGATGGCATTTGTGGCTCAACAATGCATCAGCCTGAAGAATTTGAGGAATCAAAGGATGCCCAAATTGCTGATCTACGTCAAAGACTGAAGGCACTGTCTCAATCTAAAAAAGAAGAAGACAGAAATTGGATGGAATTACTTGCTGAAAAGGATATTTCAATAAGAATCCTGACATCACATAACTCAGAACTTCAAGAAAAAGAAAGCACAATCCGAATGAAACTAAGGATGTTGGAGGTTGAAAAAGCAGACGATGCAAAAACAATTCAACAGTTGAGGTGTTCAAATTCGGAGCTTGAAACTGAAAATGCCAAATTGCATGAACAAGTTCAAGAACTATCTGTCCAACTAGCAACACAACCATACCGAACACCAACAAAACTTCAACCACAAGGTCAGTGAAAATCTTGAGCCACAAAAAGTTATGTCCTTGTGCCATCATAACTCAGAGAAATTTCTATTTATTATAATTTTCTCTGTCATTGGTAATTTTCTCTGGAAGTTATATCTCTCTCAACACATTAGTTATATTTCTACTGCTCATTTCATTTCTCTGTATATTTTCTTATTCCATTTTTGCGGCTTGTTTGATTTTCACTGTGTATAGTTGGAATGCAACTGGAACAACAACCAACAACCCAACAAGAGCAAATCCCACACAAACAACAACCGAAACAAAAGAAGAAACTCTATGGTAACTACAAAATATTGAATTAAATAAATTTACATATTGAAATATCATCTGTTGCTTCAGAGAAATTTCACTTTTCCTAATATTTTCACTGCCTACAGTCAAAAAAGATCCAACCTCAATGATAAAAAATTTAAAGGCAAAAGAAAGGAAGGAAAAGCAGCATGATCCAGAATTCCAATATCCAAAAGTTGCGAAAGTGACTAGAGCTTCAAAACAAGCTGCAAAACAAGTTGAGCAAAGCACAAAGGACAAAGAAGTGCTTGATGCTGATGCATACGTCTTGCCTCAACCTATAAACATCACAAAATCTTGGGTCTTTCCACAAACTCTTCCCATTTCAAGATTGATAAAAGATCATATAAAAGACATCTTGCAGCACATATCAAATGTGTCTGGGCTTGAGTAAGTACAACAAACAAAATAGAACATAACAAACAACAAATTACAAACTTATGTTGCATTAACAACAATTCAATCCCTTCTTTGTCATCTTAATTGTCAAATTCAAAGAGACATTACAAGATCCATCTGAAGATCGAGAGAATGAACAAGCAGAAGGCAACACAGAAGAATACGAAGCCAGCAATGGACAAGAACATCAAGCAAGCAGAACAGAAGAAGAAACCAGTGAAGAACGTGAATATATAGAACCAGAAGACAAAGAAAAAAATGAACAGAAAGAAGAAGACAGTGAACAAGAACATGAAGAAGAAGATGAACAACAAGAAGAAAACAAGGATTAAAGTGATGAAAAAGAAAATAATGAGCCGATGGACCAACAACATGATGGCATTTGTGGCTCAACAATGCATCAGCCTGAAGAATTTGAGGAATCAAAGGATGCCCAAATTGCTGATCTACGCCAAAGACTGAAGGCACTTTCTCAATCTAAAAAAGAAGAAGACATAAATTGGATTGAATTACTTGCTGAAAAGGATATTTCAATAAGAATCCTGACATCACATAACTCAGAACTTCAAGAAAAAGAAAGCACAATCTGAATGAAACTAAGGATGTTAGAGATTGAAAAATCAGACGATACAAAAACAATTCAACAGTTGAGGTGTTCAAATTCGGAGCTTGAAACTGAAAAGGCTAAATTGCATGAACAAGTTCAAGAACTATCCGTCCAACTAGCAACACAATCATACCGAACACCAACACAACTTCAACAACATGGTTAGTGAAAATCTTGAGCCACAAAAAGTTATGTCCTTATGTCAACATAACTCAGAGAAATTTCTATTTATTATAATTTTCTATGTCATTGGTAATTTTCTCTGGAAGTTATATCTCTCTGAACACATTAGTTATATTTCTACTGCTCATTTCATTTCTCTGTATATTTTCTTATTCCATTTTTGGGACTTGTTTGATTTTCACTGTGTATAGTTGGAATGCAAGTGGAACAACAACCAACAACCCAACAAGAACAAATGCCACACAAACAACAACCGAAACAAAAGACAAAACTCTATGGTAACTGCAAAATATTGAATTAAATAAATTTACATATTGAAATATCATCTGTTGTTTCAGAGAAATTTCACTTTTCCTAATATTTTCACTGTCTACAGTCAAAAAAGATCCGACGTCAATGATAAAAAATTTAAAGGCAAAAGAAAGGAAAGAAAAGCAGCATGATCCAGAATTCCAATATCCCAAAGTTGCGAAAGTGACTAGAGCTTCAAAACAAGCTGCAAAGCAAGTTGAGCAAAGCACGATGGACAAAGAAGTGCTTGATGCTGATGCGTACGTCTTGCCTCAACCTATAAACATCAGAAAATCTTGGGTCTTTCCACAAGCTCTTCCAATTTCAAGATTGATAAAAGATCATATAAAAGACATCTTGCAGCACATATCAAATGTGTCTAGGCTTGAGTAAGTACAACAAACAAAATAGAACATAACAAACAACAAATTACAAACTTATGTTGCATTAACAACAATTCAATCCCTTCTTTGCCATCTTGTAGAGCTTTAATTTGGACAAGTGAGTTGAATCTCATTACCTTTGAAGACATTGGAAACCTAATAAAGCAAAAAGAAATTGCCAACAATGTAAGTCTTTCCCTTTCATCAAAATTTCTCTGCAATGTTCCATCAGCCTTTATAAAACAATATTACAATTATAAATCATATTTTTCAGGTCATTGATAGCTATGGAGAGATCCTTTTGGCTGACCAAATCAGAGAGAAACAACAACCAACCTCATTTTTTTTCACATCCATGAGCGTAGTATGTTACTACTATTTTATTTGATTTTCTCTGGAATTTACTTACTACTTTCTCTTCTTAAGATACTTCTTGAAGCCAGTTGTGTCACTAGTCATAACAAAACCATTTTTTGATTTTCTCTGAACACAGAATTTCATCAAGATGACAGAAAATCAAACTTTTCGAGTGTCCTTATTTGACAAGCATATTGAAACAGCATGGAGGAACTATAGGTTCCTCCATTTCCCAATAAATACTGGAGGTAATGAGAAGTCCACACATGGAAATCACTGGACCTTGCTTGTCCTAGACAAACAAGACAATTTGTGGAGGTTCTACAACTCACTGAGGCCAAGGAGGGATGATGCAGAAGACAAATATGTCAAAGATGCAAAACAATTGGTAACGAGTGCAAATTTCTCTGATCTATCATCATCTTTATGTGATGATAATTTTCATAGAATCCCATTGACTTGTCCGTAAATTTCTCTGTTATATAAAAATTATTTTTTTGCAGCAAGATTACGTGGAGAATTTTCTGAAAGCTTGTCTTGAAAGAGACGCTCAATCACAACCCTCTTTCAAATTAATTAACTCACAAAACACAAGTTATGACTTTGAGTATGTCAACAATGCTCCACAACAAGAAAGCGATTCGTAAGTTTCATACATCTATAAATAAGATAATCTGATTTGCATGTTTCTTAAAACTAACCATACCTATAATTTGTATGCAGTTTGGATTGTGGCCTCTTTGTCTGCTATGTAATGAAACAATATAGCAAGCATGAACCTATCAGCTCCAAATTGTCCACACAAGAGATAAGGTTGATGGGGGCAGAACTCATAGAGAGATTTGTGACCGAAGTTGGCCGGTCATGGACTGAACCAATTGAAATACCTCCAGAAGAACCACAAATGTAATAGTGAAACTAGTGAAAGGAAGACAATGTACATATCTACACAGAGAAAATTGTCTCACATATATGTATATATCCTTTCTTATTGATACATTGAAGGAATGATGATCCTTGACATATATGTATATATCCTTTCTTGACTAATCTAAATTTCATTTTTTTTTTATTTCAACTAATGTAAATTTCAACAATTGTCTGCCAGAGAAAATTGTCTGCAGAAATTTCTCTGGTATAAACTACCATCTCTGGTATGAACTACCAGAAATTCACAGAGAAATTTAACTTGTATCGTCCCAAGGGGATGCCTATATGATCATGTAATCTGTAATACTCTGTGTTGGTACAAAACAATCATTAAACTCAACAAAACACAAAGCACACAGTAATTTTATCTGCCACTGAAAATTTTCATTGCATGAATTTCAAATTTCAGAACACAATGCCCAGATAGTTTTCTCTGATGGTGAAAAATTTCTCTGGATGAATTTGACAGAAAATGGAATTTCTAAGTTATGAATTTCTCCGGGTTGAGTGATTTGGAGAGGAGGAATTTCTCCGAGTTGGTGAGGAAAATTTCTCTGGCTTTGACACAAATTTCTGAGTTGAAGTGAGTCCAGAGAAATTCTTCCCTGGTTTAGAGAAATTCTCAACTCACAATAATTTTTTGTATGCTCTGTCTGCTGTGCACATTTCTTGAAATGACTGATATGAAGCTACCAGAAATTTACAGATAAATTTAACTCATATCTCACCAAAGAAGGTGCCTATATGATCATTCAATCTTTAATGCACTGTGTTAGTACAAAACAATTATCAAATTCAAAAAACACAATCCACACAGTACTTTAGTCTGCCATTGTCAAAATTATGTGGATGAATATGAAGTTTCAAAACACAACACACAGAATTTTCTCTGCCATAAGAAAATTTCTCTGGATGAATTTGACAGGTACTACAAACCCACTGCCTATAGTATATATCAACAAACACACTTTAACTCATATTGAAAAATTTCTCTGGATGAATTTGATTGATATTATTATATACACTGTCCAAAAAATAAATTTCACAAAACAAAATACACAAAGTAATCATCAAATGTATTATTCAATCAATAAAATGTATAATCTTCAACTATTTAACAAAGGTTCCTTGCATGTCCTCTTATTATGGTGACCAATACTCTCACAACGACTACACTTAATCACCCTTTTAAACTCTCCAGTAGAAGCAATTCTGTTCTTCTTCGGCCTCCCAGCAGGTCTCTTGCTCAATGGAGGTAAAATCATAGCATCTTCAATGCTACACACAGGTTTTTCAACAGTTGGAACTGGGCCAATCGAAAACGAGTATGCTTGACGATACATATCAACATGAGAAAATGGTTCAACAAATGAATTCAAATTCTTTCCACTCCTAAAAATTGCAGCAACAGCATGTTGACATGGATACCCATTTATTTCCCATTTTCGACATGAACAAGTTCTTAACCCAAGATTAACCATAACCGAAGGAAAACAATGCACTTCAAAGACATTATCAGATGATAAACTCACATTCCATGTCCTCCCGTACAAAAAAGACTTCTCCAACACACTATCCATACGAGGACACAAAATTTTATTCCATTTATTAGAGAGCAGCCTCCTATCAGACCTCATATTCATGATTTGCAACCGTATCATGTCCACCAAATTTGTTATTGGCAAGTGCCGAGCTTCTCGTATCCATGAATTGAATGACTCAGCAAATTTGAATACATCTCACCATAACGTTTCCCCGCAAAATATGCATCACTCCAATTTTCATATGGTAAACTTCTCAAGAAAACACTCACAATGTCTCCTCCCTCACTTTTTAATTCATTTAACTTGAAATGAAATGATGCCTTTGTTGGAGCATATGCACATTCTGAAAACTTGGACACAATCGTCTCCCTAACCAAATTTGTGTTTCCACATGACAACTTATCCCTCAAATTTCTCTTTAGATGTTCCAGACAAAATCCATGAAAGCAGTTAGGGAAAAACCTAGCAATTCCTTCAACAATTCCACAATGTCGATCTGATATGAAACTTATCACCCTTTCTGATCCTAATACTCCATATAAATGTTGAAGAAACCAACACTAATTGTCTTTATTCTCAGCATCAACAACAGCAAAAGCTACAGGAAAAAAACCTACAAAACAAATAGGAACAAGCATATTAGATATACACATGCAGAGAAAAATAGAACAATAAACAACCAGAGAAGTTTGACACTGCCAACATCCAGAGAAAATTCACACATTGGCAACATCTAGAGAAAATTGACTTAGTGACTAGCTACAGAGAAAATTCACACAATCATAATATACAGAGAAAATTCACTTAGTGACCACCTACAGATACAATTCACACATTGACAACATCCAGAGAAAATTCATACACTGACCAAAATCCAATGAAAATTCTCACAGTGGCCACAACAATAGAAAATATACACAGTGGCCAAAATCAGAGAAAATTCACATTCACTCAATTCCTACATGTATAGAAAATTCACATACTTAGATAAAATTAGATATATTTACAATTACCTTCATTCCCATCTTTCCCCGTTGCAGCAAGCATAACTCCTTTGTATCGTCCTTTCAAAAATGTTCCATCAAGAAAAAGCAGTGACCGACAATATTTGAAACCAGCAATGCATGCATGAAAAGCCACAAACACTCTTTTGAAACGCTTGTTATCTTCAAAATCTAACTCAAAACGACTCCCTGGATTGTTCTTCAATGCCTCATCAAAATACCACCGTAATTGATCAAATGACAAACAAGAATCCCCATATATACTACATTTTGCTTTTTCAACACCCAACCAACCACAGTTATAACTGATTGAGACCCCATACTTGTCTTTCATTTCTTTCACAACATCCACTGGACGAGTCAAAGGTTTTGCACTTACCTCTTCAAGTACCAGCCCAGAAACTAAGCTGGAAGTCATCTTCGAATGTTTACTCGTACGAACTGCCACACCACACGTATGTTCATTGTTCAAAGTCCTTATGTAGAAGAACCCATTTGTTTTTTCAACAGAAGCATGTACACGCCACAGACATCCCCTTGATTCCTTATATGCACATTCTGCCGTAACCCTCAGCATGTCATTTTTAACATACGTAAACTGAAAACCAACCTCAATAGCATACTTGCATAAAAAACTACGAAACTCAACCACACCACCCTCAAACTTTTGTCCAACACTCGTAATATTATTCCGCCAACTAGCCGACAATAACACCTTTTCTTGGTGAGAACAAAACTTAGAGAGTGAATTCCTTTCAACATCCACCAGCCTATCACACTCACCATCCACAACATTTACCCAATTAGACCCTACTTCATCCTCTTCATCAGAAGTACTATATCTACTAACTGAAACATCAACTATATCAATACCGCGTGCACAAACAATCCTCAACATATTCAGAAAATCAATATTATTTCGAACCATACAATTCGGATGGCCCAAAATAGAATATGAAATACACATAGTCTCAGGTTTCAAATTCTCCCATGTTTTACACAAAATGCCAACCAATTCCTCAAAATTAAATTCGCATGAAACATTAATGACAATAGTATCATTCCCATATTTGCACAGCAACAACACTGCACTGTCCATTGAAACTGAAACAAAATACAACAAAAATAATTTGTTTAACATAGAAACACTTCACAAGAACAACATAAAAGTCCAGAGAAATTTTTAAAAATTATAATTTTCTCTGAACTTAAAATAAAAGTCCAAAGACATCTACAAACTGATATTCATCTTCAAGATGATAAAAAACAAAATCACAGAAACTTAATGAATCACAGAGAAATTTACTGCTAACTATTAAACACAATTATAGAAAAAAAATCACATAGAATACAAGTCGAGAGAAATACTTTTCTCTGAACTACAAACTGAAAGTGAGTAACAAACTTACAATTTTCTCTGAACTACAAATACAAGTCTAGAGAAATTTATGAACTTACATTCACTTTCTCATATTCTATCTCCATTACAAACTTCTAATAATATGTCCATATGCACTTATAATTTCCTCTGGACTACACAAACAAAAGTGCAAAAAATGAAATTTCTCTGGTTTGAAAAAACATAGAACAAAACTTATCATTGATCAACATGTTGATAAAAAACAGAGCACCAAAAATGAACTCTAAACATCAAAATCACCTACACTGTCAACACTATTTGAAATTGATCAAAAAACAAAGAATGAAAAATTAATTCCAAAAATAAAAATCAATTCTATCAAGCTGGCCTCTCTCTAAACAAAAATCAAAATCCATGTGGAATCTAAATCGAAAACAAACCTAATTCAACTCCACTCAAAAACCTACGCGATCAACACACTGTCAACACTCTTTGAAATTGATTAAAAAACAAATAATAAAAAATTAATTCCAAAAATAAAAATCAACTCTATCAACTTGGCCTCTCTCTAAACAAAAATTCAAAACAAAAATCAAAATGCATGTGGTATCTCCATCGAAAACAAACCTGATTCAACTCCACTGAAAATCTACGTGTTCAACATACTGTAACACCACTGAAATCTCCGACGAAATCTCCAACGAAATCTACACGATCGTAGCAATCTTTCTCGTCAACTCCACTGAAATCTCCGACGAAATCTCCACCATAAAATCTCCACTGAAATCTCCGACGAAAACTTCGACAAAATCTCCACTTCAAACTCGGTTTCCAAAATCTATCAGTTAAGTCAACAATATAATATTCAAACAAATTTATGTTATAAAGGAAGGGTAATTTAGGTACTTTATAACCTAAAATAAATTTGAGGGACCTTAGCCATCAAAACATATTATAAAGGACCTCTCCTCCTATTAAAAGTAGAGGAGAGACCTTAGGCCAATTTTCCCTAAAAATAATAATAATAATAATTAATAAGGCATATTTTGCGCTTAAGATTACTATCAAGTCCTATCAAGTTTCAATATGAACAACTAAATCCTATGTTTTTATAACATATTTTCAAGAAATTCATTACTCTATAATGGTGGATGTTATTTCAATTTTACCCCTCAATTAATATGGAAATATTTTTAATTTAAATAAAATAATATTTTTTACTTATAAAAATCATGATATTGTATTAAAAAAAATCATAAATCACAATGAAAAAATCATTAAAAAGTTCAATTTTGTTTTGAAAATTATTATTTAGTTATATCAAATTTCAATATTAACAAATAAATCTTTTTTTAATAAATTGCTATACATAAAAAAAATTCAATTGTTCATAATAGTATATTTTATTTTCATTTTATCATTTTCATTAAAATATGAACAAAAACTTTCATAAATAATTTTAATGTATTAGAAATTTTATAAGTAAATTACTTTTAATTTTTCAAATTAAATGATTTTCATAAAATAAAAAAATTATAGGTATAAGGACTATAATTTTTACAATTAAAATTTTAATTAAGTTATTTATAAAATTGTTATTCATATTAAATATGAAGGTAAAATTGGGAACATACCATTATAGAGCAATGAATCTTTTGGGAACCATTTATCGCAAATAGGACTTAGTTATCCATATTGCAGGACTCGTTACTAATCTTAAGAGCAGAATATGACTTATTGATTATTTTTCCAAAAAATTATTATGTTTAGGATAAATTTTTAACTTTTTACACACAAAAAAAGTGTAAAAAGTAGAAAGAAAATAAAATCTTTAATTTTTTTCTAAACTCCCTTTATACACACACTTAATGAAGAGAGTGTGTAAAAAGTATAGTGAGGGAGAATGTGTAGAAAGTGTATATTGTGTGTGTAAATAGAAGCTTCCCATTCCACTCCCATAGATTGATGACAAAAAGACTATTTTGCCCCTCATTCTGGAAAATCAACAAAAATATCTCCTATGTAATAAGGATTTTTATGTAATTTATAGATTTAATCATAACTAACTAATACCACCATACTAGTGCACACACAAACACACTTCATCTCCGATTTAATACTATCACACTAATAATTTCTCCACTAAGCATACTGTATCTTTAATCCATCTAACTTAATCTGTAAAACAAACAAGACCTTAGAATTTTTTAAGTTTTGGGTGTAATAAGAAGGGTGAATGATAGGTATGAAAGGTAAAAATGGAATTATAAAAATTGTAAAAAAAAAATTAGAAATTTTGATGGGACTTCTCAATTTTTTGGTGTAACTTCAATTTTTTTCCAAAAAATATTCATAAAGCAAATTTTGAAAAGAAAACCAAACATGGCCATTCGTATTCAAAACATTAAAATTATGAAAAAAAATTCAAATTACTAAATTGCAAGAACATTACAGACCTTATCGCCCCTATAATTTACTATACCGTATATACAGGGTGTAGATTAGCAAAATACAGGTTCTATTGAATATATATATTTTTAATAAAAAAATATACAAATAAGAAATAATCAATTTACAGCCAAACAACACTAGCTGAACTCAAATTTGCAATTGCTATTTCTCTTTCCAAAAATAAAAAAAATAAAAAATTGCAACTGCTAGCACAAGGCTAACCCATTCATCCTGATCTCTTCTCTGAAATGAATCTGTAAATCAGCATTATCTATCCAAAGCAGAAAGAAATGGAGTCTGAGAAACTCTATTTGGAGTTTGACAGTTCTCGTCTGCTCTTGAGCTATACGGTGAGGTTTGTGGCATGAGCTCGGACAATCGAATTCTTTCATTGGTAATTCTATTCTGTTGAATTAATTAAAAACCATCTCAGTCCCAAGCACATAAAAGTTAGTATCACAAATCACTTAAACTATCATTCACCCCAAAAAGAAAAACCGAAAGAATGACGAAAAATCATTGCTATCAAAATTCAAAATTACAATTCGAAAAAAAGACAGAAAAAAGAGAAATGATTTCATTTACCTTGAATTTGGCATCTTGCAGCTCCCTTTCCAGTGAAGTAACCCGGTTCTTGAGTTGCTCTAGTGCTTCTTCAGCCACGGAGACACTTACATCAGATACCGGCCTTGTTATATCCGCAGCCTATAAATTTAGATTCAAACAGGAGATGAGCTGTAAGAAGCAACCCTTGTTTATTTGGATGAAAAAGATCCTGGTTAAGAAGAACAAACACTTTTGTGCAAGAGGTGCATCGTGTTTGACAACTCTGTATCTTAATTAAAAAGTTGAATCTAAAAATATTCAAAATCTTTTATTTGATGTACCAGAAATAAAAGATGCATTATTCAACGATGAAGTTGACAGAAGTGAAAATTGAAGTTTCAAATTTTCTTTAACTTGCTTTTGGAATGAAACTTTATTTTGTAATTTCTCCTATTTAATGGCATTAAAATAGCTTATAGACTTTGCTTTGGTATTGTTGAAATATGATTTTCCTTTTGATTTTATAATTTCTCATTTTAGTTTTGGTATTGAACTTTGATTTGTAAATTGAATCTCCAATTATAAATTATAAAAAGCAAAACATTTATTGACATATGCCAACTATTACCGTATCCTATTTTTTTAGATATTGCCGTATCAGCGTACCCATACTAGTACCCGTATCCACACCCATATTTCATAGGTGCTACTTGGGTTACTGGCATGAGTTTTGTCATTTATGAGGGAAAATAATATCAATAATTAACTTCCACAAACCTTTAAAATGCTGGTGCACAAGCTCACTAACTTCTCTGCTAATTGCAGCCTTTCCCCTTCAGTTTCCTGTTGCACATTCACTCGAATGTTAGCACTCGCTCTCTCTCTCTCTCATGCAAATAAATGTGCAAACACATGTGCAGAAGGGTGTTTTGCTTAGACCAAACTATTCCCTCTCTCAGGTACTAGCCCAAAAAAAGGAAGGAAAAAAAAGGAAAAAAGAAACAGTTTCGCCTACTTACACATGTGCAGAAGTGTGTTTTGCTTAGACCAAACTATTCCCTCTCTCAGGTACTAGCCCAAAAAAAGGAAGGAAAAAAAAGAAAGAAAAAAGAAACAGTTTTGCCTACCTTCAATAAGTTATTCAACCGATTCTCCTCGTCAAAATTGATGTTGGAGTTTCTGCCATTACTAGCACGATAGTGAGTGAGCTCTTCCTTTACACGTGAAAGAATAGCTTCTGTTCGTCGCACCTTAATACTGAGCTCTTCATTCTGACTTTTCAAGAAATTGTTTTCCTCCTGTTCAATTTAATAGAAAGCTTGCTATCAAAATTACTTTTCAAGAAATTGCTTAATATGTTTTGCTGAATAGTTTCAAGGCAAAGTGAATATGAAAATTCTACTGAAATTAGCAAGCAACAAATCAATACAAAGCCGAAGACATCATCCAAACCAGTTAGTATCCACTTGAGACCACTGAAAGTATAGTAATTCCCAATTCAGAAGTATTTGAATCTTGCCTTAATTTTGGTATGATGATGGATCCGTTGCTGAAGGTTTTGCTGGCCAGACAGCTTCTTTACTTCAGTTTCAAGTTCCATTACCCTTTTCTTATGATCAACATTTTCCATCTACACAAATCAAAAGCAAGTAGTCCTAATCAGGAAGAATAAACGAAAAAAAAAAATCCATGTTTTTATAAAGACTTATTGTTACCTACATACACAATAAAATAAATAAGAGTTCCACCTTGAACATCCCGTTTTCAGTTGTAAGTAACCGATCTCGCTGACGAAGTTTTTCCAATGCAACCTGTACTGCCACCATCTCAGCCTGTTTTCTGTCAATTTCCTCTAGCCATCTGGAGTAAGACCTCAAAGCTGATTAGACACATGCTGGAAAAACAAAAAGAATCTATGAACTCTTAAATTTGATTTTTTGGGTCAAAGTTGCTTACGCTTTTCTTTCCTCGATAAACTCATTGAGCTGCTGCTTTAGCTTCATTACCTCTTGGTCCTGAAACAAAAGATGCCGTTCAAGACAACAAAAATGCACAGGGGGTCCAATTCAGTTTCAGTGTTATTGAAGCTGAGTGTACCTTATCTTGAGCTTCAGCATTATAGATTCGAGTCTTCTCCATTAATTTTTGCACTTGCTGATTATCCAGCAATGACTGACATTAAGAAACTAAAAAGATAAGCATAATTGCATTGACTTGGGAAGATATTCTGTAATCATTGTTCATAAGCATCACCAACTCAATCCAATATACACTGTCAAATGCAGAACATCCTAAAAACGAATTCTCAAAGATGGGAAATAAATAGCATGATTGACTTCAACAAATTTGGGATAGAACATTGTAAATTTACCGCATAATTGGTCATATCCAACTTTAGTCCCAACAAATCACGAATTACATCATGGGTCATACTCTCTGCAGCAGCTAATCTTGCATTCAGCATGAAGATCTAGAAATGGACATAAATTGAAAATAGTGATGCATGGTGTCAATCTCAAAAGAATATGCAACAACACAATAAAGCATCAAACCTACCTCTTTCTGTCGATTTGCAGCTAAGGCTTCAAGCTCTTCAATACGGACTCTTCCAGCAGTAAGCTCCTCATCCCTCTCTGATTTTATTTGTTGTACTAAGCCCAATCCAATGCATTTGAAAGGAGAACCAGAACCCCTAGACTTCGATCCATTTTTCTCTAACTTGCTTGAAGATGAATTTGCTATATGGGCAGCAGGGCCGTCAGGTTTGACTTGTTCCGCCATGGCTTCCAATGCCTTGAACTGTTTCCAAGTTCATAGGATATGTAGTTCAAGAAAATGTAAAAGGAAAAGAATACTCTTCACAGACAAAATAAGTTGTAGGCTTTTAGCCAAACCAATATATAAAGTACATAAGCTGGCCTACCTTTTGCTTGTACTCGCAAGCCTGTGCCTCTGCATGCAAATTTAGCTCAGTGATATGAAGTTTGCATTGGGCAATCTGTTGAAAAATTACAGTACAAACCTTAAATACTCGAACCGCATGAATAACCCAATGAGTAACAATTTATTTCGGAACTTGGAAAAACTATCACAAGCACAAGTATAAATGCACAAGAACTTTACCTCTGCATCCCTGGCAGCTATTTCTCTCTCAAGATTAGGACTTATATAATTAATATGGTTATTTTTATACCCTCTCAGGCCCCGTTTGGGGACTAACTTTTTTAGCCAATTAGCCAAAAAGTTACTAAATTAGCCAAAAAGCCAACAACTCATACCAAAAAGTCAAAGATTCTATTTTCTCTCTACTTTTTGCACATCTTTTCATAATTAGCCAAAAAGTCATCCCAAACATACAAGTTTTTTTTACCTACCTTTTTAGCCTAAGTCTTGGAGGTCCATCCAAATCTCCTTGGGAAGGCCCATCTTAATCCGGAGCTCATTATCAATCCGGAGCTCACTATCAATCCCCTCTCATTCTCTCAAAATACCAAAATAACCAACATATATATATGATTTGTTATTATTTTAGTGATCATGGAGTTTTTTATAGGATCCAATCAGATTCAGTTAAACCTAACATATTTTTAACGTTTCTTCTCATTTTTGTCCCCTTCAAAAAATTGTAATATATCTTCTAAAGATGTTTAAGATTAGAGTTACACTATGAATTATCTATTACTATTTTATTAAATTGAATACTACATGTGTGAGGTCAGTTATACCTGTTAAAATGTTTTAGGCTTTAAAATAAAATATCCTAAATAATTCTTTCTTATTATTTGCTCACTCTTACTTAGAAAAGTATATATGCTTATTGTCCAAATATCAATATCGTTGTTAACTATTGTTACTTTAGAAATTAATAGTTTCTATTTGGTTATTACCTTTATTAAGAATGGTTGATAAAAAAATCTAAAAAAAAAAAGAAAAGAAAAAAGGTAAGATGGTGATTTTACATAGGAACCTTTGTTAACTTCTTACCTATTAAATTACGTGATTATCATTCAAAATAACATTTTTGTTGATTTAAATCTAAATATTTTATATTCATAAGAGACATTTAACATTTAAATGTGTAGATATATGTTTTTAAGTGATTTAGAAAAAGTGATCGAATCTTTATGATTCACGATTCGATTCGATTCGCGATTCGGTACGAGACCATTTCGATTCACGATACGAATCCCGATTTGACAACTATGGTCGCTGCAATCCACATACTTTTGGTCTAATAATTATTTTCACCTTTTCATGTCAGCATCACTACTTTTGACATTGTGCATTTGCTGTTTTATTGCATCAAGCTCCATTTCTAGCTCCTCTCTCTGCAACCGTTGCCGTTCAGCTTCTCCTTTGATAAAGTCAACCTTAGAAAACGAGCAAATGGAGTCACAAATTGGAACACAATAAAAAAAAAAAAAAAAAAAAAAATCTAGTACAGTAAAATAAATATTAAAAAGCTCATTAAAAAGTCACCTTATTTTCCAGTACATTCACGGTACATTCTAGCTCTTCCACCGACCTCTCCAATAGCTTCACCTCCTCTTCCTTCTCTTCGGCATAGAGCTTTCTGCTCTCAGCTATCTAATCAACAGAAAACAATAAAAAATAAAAAGATGCAACACTGAAGTAATTATTTACATATTGGTTTGTGTGGAAAATAAACATAAACCTGTTGAGCTTCCATAGCAATTGCTTCGTTTTCTTCAGAAAGAGCTTGTGCCATCTCTAATTTCTCCTTGAGTATAAGAACTTCCTCGTGGAGCTCATCCCTCTCGCTAGTAACCTCATTCAAATGGCTGTTCAAGGATTCAATGGAATTGTTCATTTCTCCAAGAGCAGTACCCATTTCGACGAGTTCCAGTTCTAAAGTCACATTTAGCTTCCCCCTCTCTGTTAACTCCTCCTCAACGGACCTTCTTACCTCTAAAGCATCTTCAATTTTAGCTGTCAGCTCAAGGTTTTTGCTGGAGAGTGATTTTACAGACTCCTGCATTTTTGTGATATCCAACTGAAGAGTGCAGATAATGCTGGTCTTCTCTTGCAATTGAGCTTCAAGTGTTTGGCCATTAGCAACTGCTTCGTCAAGCTCACGCAATCTTACTGCAAGCTCAGCTTCTAAATCCTCTAAAGAAGCAGTCAATTCTTCAATTTCATCTTTTTGGTCCTTACTGTTAGATGCAGACTCCTGCAATAAGCTTAGATCAAATGCCAATCCTTTTAAAATGTCATCCTTCCTCAACAAATCAGTCTGAAGAGACAAATTTTCAGACATAAGCTCTTTAGCAAGTTTCTCCAAGTACTCTAGCTCTTCCACGAACTTAGATGCCATTTCCAAGTTTTCGCACATCTCTCGAAACATCTTTTCTAAAGCAGCACTTGCATCATTCAGTACATCATATATTCTGCTACCAGCCGTGTCCACATTTTCAACTGAATCAACACACTGAACCACCTTCAAGTTTAATGCAGAGAGCAGCTTGTAATTATTCTTCCATTGAGATTGGAGCCCATTTTTCAAGGAAACATTCTCCTCCTTCAAAGCATCAACTCTGTCAACATAGATTTGCAAATCCTGGCCTTTTGAGCATAACTCATCCCTAGCAACAGACTGAGAAAGTTGGACTTCATTGAATTCAGCATGCACCATGTTCAGATCAGTCTGTAAATTGGCAATGTGAGTCTCCAGGGAAGAAATTGTATCTTGCAACCTATCCTTTTCCATATTAACGGCATTCATATGGCTTAAACATGATCCAAGTTCAGATTTCTTATCCTCCAAATGTTGAACAATTGCACAATATTCTTCCTTCAACTTCCTTAATTCATTTTCCAGTGACTCATTGTCCTCCTTAAGGCAGCTCATTTTGCTTAGTTCCACATCGTTCATCTTTAACTCATCTTCAAGTTTGCACGATGATATTTCCAGCAAGGAAATGCCATCCTGCAACATTTTGTTTTGTTGATCAAGGGCAGAGATACGGCTGGAAGAAATTTCTAGAGCTGTTTCCTTTTTCTTTACCTCTTCTAGTAATTTTTCATGCTCAGCTTCTAGTTTTTGAACCTGGGACAACAATCTCATCTTTTCTTCCATCATTTCACCAAGTTCACCTTTCAAAGTATCATGTGAAAGAGCAATATCTTTTAGTGACTGAATATCTAGCTCAAGAGCCTCATTTATTTCAGCCATCTGCGCCATTGCAGAATTGCTTTCATTGATCTTTGAAAACAAATCATGCCTCTCCCTTTGTGCTTCTTCAACTTCTTTCTGTAGGAGAGCAACCTCAACTTCCTTATCCAGCGAGATCAATTCTTTCAACTCTGCATCGACTCTGAGAAAAATCAAATCTCTCTTGAAGTTTTCAAGAATTGTAGAGTAACTTAGTTTTTCTTCTTCCACATTAGCTTCTTGGAAAGCCATCTGTTCCAAAGTTGATCCCAGGACAAGCAACTCAAAGTCTTTTGCACAAAGGTCCACTATGAAATTCTCCTCCTGAAATTTCAAGACATCCTCTCGATCCTTCAGAAATTTTTCTTGATCCAACAGTGATTTCAAAATATTTCCATTACTCAGGTCTAACTCTTTCATTAACATGGCAAGCTCAGATCCCATATGATGGGACCTTTGCAACATTAACTCCTCCTGAAACTGTAGATCTAATAGTTTTTTCTCGAAAGTTGTTAGCTTGACAGTGAGTTCACCAGTTTCATCTTCTTTTCTTGAGATGCGATCAAAACCATTCTTGATGTCAGCCAACAGTTTCCCCTTCAGGATTCTACACATATCTAACTCTCTTTTCGATTTGAAATTGTGTTCCCTCAACTCAGAAATGACTGAGTTTGATTCAGAGAGCCCATGGTGAAGCAAACCATTTTCTGCATTCAGCCCAGTTACTGTTTCCAACAGTATTCCCATATGACAAAGGTGTAGCACAGAGACAGCACAATCCTTAACAAAAATCTCAGACCAGACGTCCTCAATCCATGAATGCGTCAACTTCATTGAGTCTTTAAGTTGAGACTTCATGCAGAGGAACTCGGTGCCAATAGACATGAAATCTTGCTTAAAAGTGGTCTGGACCTGTGCAGTGATACCCTCCAACTCCAGGACTAACCTCTTCATTTCTAGCAAATCTGAATCAATTTGTTTCTCAAGGTTTTCACATTGCAAAGCCTTCAGATCATTGGTGCATTGCAAGCTCTGAACCTCTTTGATTAGGATATCCTTCTCATTCATCAAGGTGACCTTCATCTTCTTCATCTCTTCAATTTCAAGCTTCGCGGTTTGATTTGCTATCATCAGCTCATTTATCATAATATCTGCTTCTTTTATGATATCTTGGGACTCTTCGAATTTAGCAAGTATGCAAAAAGCCTCAGCAGTTTTCTGGACCGCAACTATCTTTGCATCATCAAGTTCAAGCTCAAGTAACTGTAACAATTGAGGAGAGGGGGAAACAAAAAATTCAGTTGTTAGGTGCTGAAAGGAGTACAACTAGTTGAAATTCAATTTATATTCATTATCATCAAGTTGATTTAATTAAACATAACACATAGTATACATTTGACACATACAGTAGTGTGGAAGGAAATACGTTATCAGAAGCTCCAATCCCATAGCAAAGAGCAAACTAATATCTGAAAAAATAAATTAGAATCACAACAGCTTACCTCTTTTTCCTGGCACCAGCAACTACCAGCGTCTTGCACAGAATCTTCAACTGCCAGCAGCTTATGATCCAACGATTCCATTTTGAATCCAAATTGCTTTTCAAAGTTATTCATAGCCACTTGTAAGGAAAGTACCTGAGTCCGAAGACTTTTGATGCTCTCCTGACTCTGTTTTTCTGACATCCAGACCTCTTCTTTCTCAGCACGCAGGTTGGCCATCCCAGCTTGCACTCCTTTTAAGCTCTCAAGGGCGGTTTCTATTTCTTTTTTCAGAAGAACAATGGTAGCATCTCTATCACTCTCATCCTTCCAAATTCTTCCAGATGCCAACTTTCTCTGATCAGGTGAATATTCATGTGGATTCTTGCCCACCTTGAATGAACAACCCGAAATCTCAGTTTTCAGGTCCTCAACAGAATATGAGTCTACATTGTCATTTCCTTGTTTTGTTTCACCACCTGTCTGCAACAATACCCAGATGAATGGAATTAACAATTTTAAACCCTTCAAGATACAACATAAAAGGTAGTGAATGAAGCAAAAAATAAGCTTACCCATACTTCACATTTGCCATCATTGGACATACAAACATGACTTGCCGGAAGATTATCCTTGTCAGGAATCACAACCTGCTCTGTATACTCACTCATGCATGACTTGAGTGTTGAAACACCTATTTTTAGTTCAGTGAGTTTCTCGCTTGTCTTCAAAATATCACTTTCTTGAATTTCTTCAAGCTTCTGTTCAACAGCATAAGCACGTTTCTGCTCCACAGAAAGCTGCTGTTGAAGTTGACTGCAACTTTCCTCTGACATAGACAGTTCCCTTTTGAGAGACTGAATCTGTTTCTTTGCTTCATCAATTTCAGCAGTCTGATTATGAAGAAAAGCATCCCTATGCTCTAATGCATCAAGATGAGTAGCATTTATCTCAGATAACCTATTCACAATCACAAAAGCAACTGTTGCACAGGTTGTTGCTCTTTGAATTTGCTCTTCCCCCTGCTTAATCTTGTTCTCTAGCTCTGCTATGGTAGATGTGCTTGAGCTCAACTGTGATGTCAGAAGGAGGATTTCTTTCTCCTTTTCTCTGCACTCTTGCTCATGTGCTTCAGTTATAACCAAAGCTGCCCCTCTCAAAGACCTTAGCATGCACTCCATGTCACTTCTGCTATTGTTAGCATGTTCTAAACATTGGTTGAGTTCTTCAATCAAAAACTCCTTTTCAGAGATTACTTTTCTTATCCTGCCAACTTGTTCAGATATCCAATTTCTTTTCGAAGGAAAGGAACTGGAAATAAATTGAAGCTGATCTGAGGCATCTTTGAGCGCCTCATGACCATCAGCAAGAAGTGGTTCAATCTCGTTGGTCAACAATTCCCACTCTTTAGATATTGTTCTTAATTCTCTGTCTTTCTGCTCAACCTTTTCACCTAAAATTTTGTTATCTTGGCCCAAAAGATATAATTTTTCATGCAATTCCTTCAATTCAGTTTGTAAAAACACCAAATTCTCTTTGGTTTCTATCTCTTTTTGATTACTTTCTTGGACTTGCTGCTGAAGAATGGCAAGTTCATCCTGCAAGCAGACTATTACTTCAGCAGTTTCAGCCTCAACTTGCCTTCGGATTTCATCCATTTCTTCTTCATTAGATGCCTGAAATGCAAGGTCACTTTGATACCATGAATTCAATCTCTTGGCCTTTTCAAGAGAATCTTGCATCTTATTTAACTTCCCTTGTAAAGAAGAGTCTTTACTTTCTAAATGCTTGAAAGATAGGGGATCCCTTAACTCTTGACAAAATATTTGCTCCTTCAAAGTAGAGATTTCAAGCTCCTGTTTACTCAAAAGCTCTGCATAGTGGCTATTACTATTCCTAATATCCTCCATTTCATTGATTGATAGAATTTGTTGCGATTCAAGAGCTTCAATAACAGATTTTGCTTCCTTGAGCTCTTCCTTCACATCTTCACATTGTCTGGTTGTCAACAAAAGCTTTTCTTTTGCCGTATCAAGATCCCTATGCAAGCACAGTTCCCTTGTCTGTATTTCAGCAGAGGATGACCTTTCTTCTTTGAGAATGATCTTTAGAATATCCACCTCCAGTTGTAAGTTCATGACTTCTTCTGTGTGTTGCATCCAATTATCATGCTTCGTCTCTTGAACTGTCTCCTCAAGTGATTGATCGTCCAAAGACGGAGCTTCCAATATGGACTCCTGAAAGTCATGGTAATTACCAGCCATAAAGAGAACTTGAATGAGTTCATGAATAGATCAAAAGGCAAAAAAAAAAAAAAAAAAAGATGATAAAATACATCTATGGTTCCAAAAGTATGCGCTCTGTGTCAGTTTACTCCTTCAAGTTTCGTTTTGTCAATTTCGTCCTCAATGTATTTAATTTGAATCAAATGAGCTCAATTTTAAACAGACCATCTAGATCGTTAACGGGATCATAATGAAATCCGTCTATGGTCCCTAATGTATGAGTGATGTGTCATTTTAGTCTCCAAAGTTTTTAATTGTCACTTTCGTCCGTAAACACTGATGAAAAAGACAAAAGATAGCCTTACAAGTGTTGAGGGATGAAATTGACTAAATTAAAACTTTGGAGACCAAAGTGACAAACAACTCATACTTTAGGGAAAGGCAGAATGACATAAAAAGAAAGACAATACGATTCCAGTAGTATTCAAGAGGCTTGAGCTACAGATAAAAAGATGAGTATTCGGTCTGATTAGATATGTCACTAAAACAAAGTGATTCCGTTCTTTCTCTGTTTTATTTTCGGATTCAAAATTTTTGAAAACCTTTCCTTTAGTGATCTTACAAGTTCAATTACTATATAGATAAGAGTTGTAAACCAAGACATGGGACTAAAGAGAGTCAAAAAAGGATCTTTTGTGAATTTATTTCCTGAGGAAAGTAGCTAACTCAATCTAATCAGACTTGCTTTTTACTTATCTATCCTTATTTGGGATCCTATACACCTCTTTCAAGAAATAGGTTTGATTGTCCAATATGGACAAAGGCTGCCCTCCCTCTTTTTTGGTAGGCCCTTTTTATTCTCTTTCTAGTATGTTTCGTCCATAAGAACACTGAACGCCCAGCTTTGCAGAGCACTCTACCCAGGTTCCACACTATGCCAATAGGTGTATTTTATCCCCACCAAAAAATGTTATTGGCTGTGCATTTTGAAATCATATATTTCAGTGTAAGCCTTCACAACTTGTCTTGGGTAGGCCATGTATAATGATAGGACTTGGGCTACTAGGGGAAGCATTCCATTAACTCCATCCACACTACTTCTACATCATCTATTCCTTTTTTGTCTTTAACAACTAGTAATCTGACTGTCAACCAAAATAAAGCTCTATAAAATAAAAATTACCTTTATGACTTCAATGTTGTTATCATGATCAAGTGTTGCAGATTTGAAGTTATTTAGTGAAGCATGTAGGTCATCAATTTCTCTGCAGCAGACAAATAGACAAACAGTTATAGTAATGGTTGCAATCAACAAATAAAAAACAAAACATAGTTGACAGAGCAAGACAAAATTACTTTGCAGGAGAACGAGATTCCCTTACCTTCTGAGTATTGCATTTTTCTCTAAGCAAGAGCTTAGACTATTTCTGCACTTTTCTAACTCATTGAGAGTCTTATTCAACTGAAATCAAAGAAAAGTTACTGTGAAGCATGAATTTCAAAGAAAAAGGAAGTCACATATTTAAGTGGAAGTCGGGGACATGATTAAACAACCTCCAAGTGTAGTGTATCATTTTCTTTACAGATACGCTGAGGTTCCTGTTCCAATAGCAAAGATTATGTGAAGATTGGAAGAAGGTCACACAATAAAATTTTGAATTTCTAGATGAATTGGAAAATGAAATCAATTTTAAGTTTACCTGATGAGGCATGTCCAATTTTGGATGGTTATGCTGCTTCGAGTTCCCGTTAAGAAAACAAACCAGCTGCAACAGAGTTTTTATTCATAAAGGCTACAAATGGAGAAATGAAAATGAAAAATACAATCTCCGCTTAGATTCTGTAGATACCTGATCCCGTAGCTCAGATACTTCAGCTAGCAGCATTTCTCTCTCCCCTTCTTCATAGAAATCCTGAAATCTATGGGTGCCAAAATGGAAACAACTAGTAAAAATGGTAAATTATTGTTGGACAAAGTTTTTTTTGGTTGACAAAAGCTACCTTCTAAGTTGTTCTAAAAGCCTGATATTCTCCAGAGCGAAACGAGTAACTTCTGGGTTTCTATCAACTTTAGCTTGAAGGAGCTGAATCTCTTCGGAGAGTGCACTGTTCTCTTCCTGTACATAAGCATCTGCAGATATTAAGCCACCAACAAGTGACTCCATTCGTTGAATTTTGTCCTCCCGAAACTTCAACATCATTTTTGTGCACCTAGTGTCCTCCTCTCTTTGATGTACCTGAGAGGCAATATGTTTTAGGCAATTAAGTTGCAGTATGTAAGGTAACAAACATCCTTCTGTTTCTATCACAAGCCGGTTCCCTCTTTCCCCTACCCAAAAGAGCAGAAAAAAATAAAATAAAATAGAGTTACCAAACGATTCAGCTGTTCAATTTCAGCTTCAAGTTGCTTAATAGTAGTATCTGACATCTGCTCCCTTCTCAAGGCACCAGCAAGTGTAGACTCCAATGATTTTAACTATAGGGCAGAGGAAAAGCTTTAGTAGAGCATTTGAATTATTTCCAATTTTCTTTTTAAAAAAATGATTTTATTCATTCAGTTTCTTAACCCAAAAAAGTAGAAAACACAACTGATCAACTGTTTAAATAAATGATCCTGTTATGATAACATTTCCAGTTCCATATTTTACATACTGATCCTGTGTCACAACGTGGAAGCCACGTAAACATAATACAATCTAGTATACCTGTTTAGTAGACAACGTAAGAATGTCCTTAGATTCAGATCGATTCAAATTATCAGTTCGCTGTAGATCCGTTTCAATTGCTTTTTCATTTTCTCGTTCTTCAGTTATACCTACCATGCTTGTTGGACCAAATGACAGAGACCTGGAGACATTTTGGCGTTTCAAGGCAGAAAGCTCCTCCTATTCCAAAAACAACTTGTTAGTGCATAAAATAGAATAGACCAGAACTTTTGTATTAAAACATTAGAAATCAACACCAACTTTTAAAAGCCGTATCTGTTGTTGTAGTGTACTGACATCCCCTGAAGAATCCTCATTCACAACAGCCTTCACCATGAAGAATACCAAATTAAATTGGTTAGAGATGATTTCTTCCTTAACAAATGTCTTATTCAGGCCATATTGCATAAAGCATGAATAGAAGCTTACATTGTTCTGAATAAGTTTCGCTCGTTGAGCAAACTTTAAAGTATTCAGTGTTTCAGCAGCACAGCTGGAAAGAAAAAAATTATCAAAATAGAAGGTTAGCATGATTTCAATACGTAAGCCTTCAAGTTGAAATGATAACAGAACTGGTAAAAACATATGGACCAACCAGATGGAAGGGCTGACATTGGCAATTATCATTGTTTTTGAGTTTCCACCTAGTGAGTCCTGCATTTGCCCTTGTGTTAAAGGTAAAATCATAAAAAATAATTAAAAAAACACAAGTAATCCTGATGAAGGCGAAGGGCATGGATTTAGAATTCACCTGAAGAAGAAAGGTCAGCCTTGAATCTCTATAAGGAACATGTCTTGGTTTTCCATTCGCCACATCCACCAGTACCATTATTACATGACTACAAAAAGAAATGTTTACTCACAGAATCAAGAAACAAGAACACGAGACAAATATAAAAAGAAGGGAAGGGGAGCATCAAAACCAGCAAAATGTACAACTGTGAGAGAAATTTAGTAGTGGTTGTAGTACCCAAGTGTAGATAATGATTTGTTAATGTTAGCAGCCTCCTTTAAACGTTCACCCTCAGCACCAGAACTTTTCTGCCTGTTAAGGGGAATGATTGATTAGTGGGTGTAACATGAAAAAGTGTTTACTTGTTTATTCTTGTACCTTTTTTTTTATTATTATTATTGAGAAGTAAGACAATCAATCTTGGAACAGTGTATTACCTTTCTGAGCCAGCAAGATCAACAAGGTTTAGCCTTGCAAATCGCAGATTAGACGTGGCATCCTTTTCCCACCTACTCTCGATTATGCAAGTAAAGACACAGTGTGAACGACTGCTCTCTCTGTTCATGTTAGTTGCAGCGACTTTCCTATTTGAAGAACCCTATTGCAATAAATCAAGGTTTAATGCGCAGGAGACACAAACAATAAATGAACAACCTCACAAAAAACTGACAGACAGCAAGGAAAATAGCAATATCAAACCAGAGGAGATTTGGATCAAAGTGTGGCAACCTGACTCAGAAGTGTAAGAATATCACCCACAGTCTGGACTTCAAATTCCGAGAGATTTTCAACATACACACCATTCTTAGTATCCTCCCGCAGCTACAAATAAAAAGAAATAGCATAATAGGACAATAAGAATATTAAGATTATCTCAAGACTCAAAAGCTTAAGGAAGAACCAAACTTACTAGCAAATTTGTGGATGAAGGATCAAGGAGATCAGAAATCTGCTCATTGTAGATCTCTAAGAAAGAGCACTTGCAATTGTATTTTAATCTCTCATCCCTTCGGCTTTCCTCTTCCTGCAGGCAGAAGAATTAAGGTAAGCCTATATTAATTGCAGCTACAATGGTCGTGCATAATTCAAAAGGTGAGCTAGCAAGGCTAAATAAAGGATCTTGGATTTACAGCTCTGATTCTTGCAAACAAGAATTCAAATATGCGCGGTGTCATTCCACGATTTGGACTGCGCTTAACTTCTAACTCTTCAATCTCTCCGAGCATTGTGTATGTTTTCCCACTTCCTGTCTACATGATGAAACTCATCCATGTCAAAATAAAATGTTTAACCAGATAGAAATTACCAAAGTAAAAGAAAGAAGAAAAAAGAGGAGCCAGATGGATGATCATCAATTACACGTGTTAAATGGTTCAACTTGATAAAGTTTACTGCCAATGCCACTATAGGCTTTATGAAATTATAGAGAACTATGATTTCGCCCCATAAGGAATCATTTGCATGATAACAGAAGAAAATGGAGTGCATCACTTAAATGACTTCAAAACAGAGAAACCAAGATCCCATTTCTTTGAGCAATCAATCTTATACAAAAAAATTTCAACATTCTGTTAGACAATGTTATATGCATACATACATACATACATACATATGTATATATATATATGTATAAAGAAGAGAAGAGGGAAAATGACTAGAGAATGATATAGGAACTGTTGCAATGTCACTACAAGAAATTAAAGGTTTTAGAGACAAAATTACTTTTTAGGGACAAAATATTTGTCGCCAAAAGTGTTATTATTTTATTTTTAGCGACAAGATTGGACATTTAGTGATGAATTACTAACTTTTGGGACCAAAAGTTGTCTAAAAAAATATGCCTTTTTGGGAGCAAGTTATTTTATCCCTAAAAGTGCATTTATCAGCTACATTTTCAAAATTATGTCCCTAAAAGCTCCTTTTTTGATTTTTTGGGACAACTTTTTAACGACTATCCTCACGACAACTTAAAATTAGTCCCTAAATGTTTTTTGCAACAAAATTTATCCTTTTAGAGACAAAAAAAACTTGGTTTATAAAACTCTTATATTTTGTAGTTTGTGATGATTAAAAATCATATTTCCCTGCTTACTTAAACTACACAAGATTTTAGAGGCTAGCGTTAGAATAATTTGAGCCATCCTAGCTCCTTGGTTGACATGAGGTTTACATATGGAAAGGTTGTGGAATTTATATGTCATTTTGATCATATAGATGTAACAACTAACAAATGAATATATGAAAATATTTTACAGGAATGCACAACATGTTAACGTGGATCAGAGAGTTGATATAAATATTTACCTACTTAGCTTCACAACTTTAGTTACAGTTACATATGTAAATGAGTTTTTGGGCATGTCCCCATCTTTCCTTGCCAACATGTTTTTATACGTAATAGATATGCTATTCTCCTTGTTCATGTGCAGTAGATAATGTTTCGAAGTAAAGTCAATAACCATTAATTCATCAAATACCTGCCCATAGGCAAACATGCAGCTATTATATCCAGACAAGCAATTCTCAACCATTGGCAAACCAACCATCCTGAACAGTGTTTCCTGCAAAATTTCAAATGATTCAAACCACGTGTAACAAACCATAGAACTTCAGTTGTGAACTACATTGTTTTTTTGAGTTCTATTCAGACCTGGTTTACAGTTTCACATGCTACATGATCAAATGTAAATCGAGTTTCCGGTTGCCCAATCCAAGTGATGCATTGTGCACTCTCTTGTTTCAAGCACCTATTGTAACCTTGTGTACCTTTCTCCATGCTATTTAGAGGGCGAACACGTATCAAAACCTAAACCAATTCAACATCAATGTAAGCTCCACAAATTTATACTTGAAAGACTCAATTTTTAACGAAATCAGATTGAAAAGAAGTAACTTACTTGTACATTATGCTCCATCCAAAATGACGGATCTTCCTTGAGATCAAAATGTGGTACTTCAACTGTATTAACAACAGTGGACGAACTACAAGTAATTGGAAGCCCTTTAGACAATGCAGCATAGTTTGCAGTGCGACCACCATTTACAGGAGGTCGAGAACCACTTGCCAGACAGAATCCGGGATTTGGAGGTTTAGTTACACTCTTAGTTGGAGTGCTTTGTGTGGAATTGCATTCAGAATAACTTGAATTATTAGCTCTCCCCACTGTACGAGTTGACCTAGGAGTAGCCAAATTTGCAAAACCCCCATTATTCCCAATCCCAACCCCTCTACTCGATTGGCTCGTATAGTTAGTCAAATCATCACGTGATTCACTTGTAAACGAACCGGACTGAGCCCAGCCATATCGGTTCTTCCCTAAAACCCCTGGCTTTTCTGGAGTACGAAGCGGCATTGCAGTATCGGAAATTTTACCTTTGGCCTTAGTGGGTGTTCTATCAATCTTACTCCTACCACCCACTTCTTGTTCATCAACAGCTTTATAATTCTGGGTTGGTTCTTGAATTGTGTTTAAGGGAGCCCTAGTAGAGTCTGTGTTGGTCTGAGTAAGCAACGAATCCCTAGGGTTTATGGGCACATTCTCAATTTCCTCTGTGTTGGAGTTCTTTCCGGAATTCCGGCGCAAGAACTTGAAATCTCTGAACATTCTATCAAACAGAAATCGGAAATACGATCAAGAGAAAAGCGGATGTCAACAACAAGTATTGGAAAATTTTGAATTTTTGGGAGTGAGAAAATGTAATAATGTAAAGGTTACCTGAAAGAGGAAGTGAGAAATAGAATTCCGAATCGACGAGCTCCTGAAATTGCTTTGGCAGAGACAGAGAGAGCTGGTTTTAGCTGGTTTTTCTAGGGTTTCAAGTGTGATTGTTGTATTAAAGATTGAGAAACTTTAAGATCTTGATTCAAGAACATGACTCTCTCTCTCTAGTTTCTGAGTTCTGACTTCACTCTCTCTCTTCTTGGTTCTTTTGTTTGAAGTCGCGCTTTTAGAGATTTGAATCGCTCGTTGTGGGCCCAATGGGCTTTTTTTTCAGTTATTTTCAAAAAGCGAAGAGAGAGGGGGAAGATTTTGGGGCCGAAGAAGTATTTTAATTATGACGATTAACGGCTAGGTTTTCAAGTGATCGGGGCGCCCAGGCTTGACAACGGTTTCACTCATTTTCAATTTCAAATTGCAACAAAAGCATATAATAGAGAAATCACTTTTAATTTTGAAATGATAAATTTCTTGGATTTTGTTAACATCTGTCAATTTCTATTTAGGATTTTATATTTTAAATTAAACCTTACTCATGATCTTTTATTTTTCAATTATAAAAATATTAATTATTTATACTTTTCAATCATATTTATACTTTTCAATCAAATTGTAATATGACTATTAGTAATTTGGGTGATGATTGAGACCCCCTCCAATCACCACTCCCACCACCCCACACACACGTGGCGGGTGGTGATTGGAGGAGAAGGAAAAAAAAAGAAAAGAAAAAGAAAAAAAGGACCAATCATGGGAAGAGGGGGTCAAGGGGGTGAGTAAAAAAGGGGGTCCAAGTCATTATTCTAGTAATTTTTGATAGCTCTATTTGCACTCTAAAAGATTGGTTGACATTTTAACTTTGTAAATTTTTTTTATTACTATTATGTCTCAATTTAAAATGATTAAAAATTATTTTATATTGAAAAATATGCAAATTGTAATGTTTTGGACAATCATCTCATAATTAGATTAAATATTCTCTTCTCCATTCACTTCTCACTATCTTCACTTTGCATCGTCATACTCAACTTATTACTCTTGAATTCATCCGTTATTCTTACATTCTATTTCATATTAAAATCAATAATCGACGAAAAATAAGACGTTTTTAAGTTTTTTTTAATTGACTACAATTTTAGTTTTTTTTTTTTTTTTTTTTTAATAGAAAATGTAAGTTTTTTGTTCATCTTTGTTGTTTTTTATTGGTGAAATTTTTTAAATTTGTTCAAAAATACGGTACCGGGCAAACTATATTTATTCAAAAACTTGTTTATAAAAAAAATTCATATATTCAATATTGTGTTTCCGAATTATTTGACATTGTTTAGTATTTAATATCCGAACAAATTGTCTGCATTCTACTCTATATTTTTGAACATTTAATTTTTTAACTTCTTCATATTTCAATTCTGAACCCAAAAAATAAAAAATAAAAAATAAAAAAAAGCTATATGGCATTATATATCCAACCAAGTTATATGTGTTAGGAAACTTCTTTCCAAATAATTTTAATTTTGTTCGATATTGAAAAACTAAAAAAAATTGCAATATTCAATTTTGTATTTTCATAGCTTTAAACTTTCTAACTTCTCTCACTATTGTAGACACCCTATTTTGACCGGCCCTAAGACTTGGACACTTTCTTTTGATTATCCGATAATGACAATCAGAATGTGTTTCTTACAGAATTCTCAATAAAAGAGATGTAATTTGAGGTTTAATCCCAACCTTTACACATTTTTTGGCCAAATTATTTTTGATCCAAAATTCACCAATCTCCACTACTAAAAGTATCTTGGTAGCGTTTGGTAAAGCTTTCTAAATATGATTTGAGAGTAGGAGTTGTATTTTGAGTTTGTGAGTTTTGAAACTATGATTTGAGTGTGAAAAAATTGTTTGGTGAAAGAGTTTTGAATTGAGTGGGGAATATTTGATACAAAAACTTACAACTCATAACCAAACACACAACTCAAAATTTTATTAAAGCTCATAAAAAAATTTAAAAAATTTGAAAAATATTTTTTTCGAATATATAAAAATTAACATGTGTCAGTTGCAAAATATATATATATATATATATTTGCACTGTTCCGGTCAACCGGTCGGACAATCGGTTAGCCCAAATTTTTCCGTCTTCGACAGAATTTTCAAAAGTGAGTGTGGAATTAATTTTTGAAACTCGTAAACAAACATCATGTGCAAAATAAAGGCTGTACCAAACATAGCCCTTATCTCTTTAATCTCTACTACCAAATTTTCTACACATCAATTCTCACTCACCATCAACTTTCATAATCATACCCCATCAATCTCCACTCATCATCCACTTTCATAATCACACCCCACCATTCCCACTCGCCATTTACTTTCATAATCAGACCCCATCAATTCCCACTCACTATCCACTTTTCTAATCATACACCACCATCACCACTCACCATTCACTTCCATTATACATTGTCTCCCATTAGCTTCATTAGTGTCCCATTAGATCCATTATCTTCCCTAAATGCTCCACTTTGTGTTCTACTTTGTCCTTTACTTTGTCTTTCACCATTGCCCACTTGCATTGCCTGTAAATGAGAGCTCTAGTCTTGAATTTTGGGAGGAAAATAAAAGAAGAAAATTGTAGAGATATTGCTAAATTTGAGTTAGAATTTGAGAGAAAAGAAAGCCTTGAAAACAAGAAAGTTGTCTTTCCAAAATAATGAAGTTACCAAGCCTCTAACCATCTCAACTTCCTTTGCAAAAACCACTCAAGAACCAAGTCCTAAAGCCTTGATAAAAAAAAGAGTAGTCTTGCTAAGTTGAAAAAGAGTAAAGAGTGATTATACACTTGTTCAAAACCATTGTTCTAGCCCAAATTCCAAGCTCTTGAATTGAGGATTAAGAACATAATTCACATAAAACTTGAGGGTAATCAAGAGGTTCACTCTTTTTTTGGAAGGTGAATTTTCAATTCTTTCATTTCTATTACAAATTCATTTTCTTACTTTTGTTTCATATTGTTTTGTTGTAAAGTAATTAAGTTTCAATTCCTTCATTATCTTGCAATTTTCTATCTTATATTTGTTTTCTTGCTTTGATTTCATATTTGTTTTGTTACAAGCTAATCGGAAGTGGTTAGTTGCGCCACCTATATATTTCTTGTTTGTTCCCTTTCTCGGTTTTGCAACAAGACAGGTTTTGCTAGACCTACTTGGCCGGCCGGTTAGCTTTTTTTGGACCAGACGACGTAGTCTTTCGATGTTGACCGGTGGTTTCCAAGGCACGTGAAGCTTATTTTGTTTATTTTTATTTTAAGTGTTTTGTGAGGTTTTTTATTTTTATTTTTGTTGTAATATTCTCTTACTCTCTCTCTCTAATTTGGTTTGTAATAATTTGTTCAAAGTGTTGTAATAATTCTCCGCCCGCTTCTTTCTATCTCGTTCTTTTACTTGCTTTCCTTTGTGAATATACATCATATTTTGTTTTTCATTATATCCATGCTTTGTATCCATGTTTCATGCATCTTGATTCGACTAAATTTGCATTTGTGAATTTAATCAATTCCTATGTGATTATGTGCGCTACCTTATGTTCTTGAGATGATTCACATGTCATATCTTAGAAGTCGAATCTTTAGTTTCATCTAAATTGTGAGTTATATTAGGATTTTGTATATTAGATCATGCATATTTTGCTAACTTTGTTTTGTAGTTGTTGGCGGAACGTCAGTAAACATGTAAGTTTTTATTATGCTTTAGCATCCCGTTTTTGTGTGTTTTTTCTTACTATGTTTAAGCATCCTACCGTGTGGCTACTTGCTTACTTGATATAATTGTATGAACGCCGGTAGATGGAGGTTGTGTTACTTAATTTGGAATGAATTAATTTTTCATATTTGTAAACTCAATTTCTTTGGGTTGTACATCTTCAAAACTCTTTCAAAACACATGAAATCAATTTGTTCCAACATGAATGACATAGTCTATACTTGTATGTTTCATATAGTAATTTTTTTAGGATTTATTAAATAAATCAAAACATGAACATATAAAGTTAATAAAAACGCATATCATGGTTTAGTAGATGTCGATCTTTGATTGCGTGAGTGGGGGTGCTCATTAATGACCTTCCTCTCTCATGTCTAAGGTTCGGAGCCAATCATCTTTGGTTACGACAAGCAGTGGCCTTGGCACGAGTCACGGATTACCTAATATTTTCAAAAATATTAGGTGGTGACTCTAAGATCTGGTGATGCAGTCCATTTTTTGTAAAGATTTTGTAATAAAATGGATTTTTTATAAAGTTGTCAAATCTGGACTCTCATCTACGTTTCCCATTGCACTTGTGGGACTAGATCAAAGAAGTCTAGGGTCTGAATTGTTTAATGCACACAGGCACCCCTGGGCATGTTACAACTATGCTTTGGGTGATGTTTGATCTTGTTTGCGAGTGATGATGGTGACGACATGGGTGAGCTCTAGCGAGAAATGTTTGATTTCTTGTGTTACTCTTCACAAGAAGTTGAGTTTGAGAGAATTTGAACCAATTGGGTTTATGGGGTGTGCTAAATATCTTTCAAAGATTTTTGAGTATAATAGGCATTATTTGAAAAATTATTGGTTGGTTCAGGGGCAATCAAAAATCACTATGTCTCCTTATGTTCTTCAATCATTCAATATAAAATCGTGGGTTTCACCCCTTCTACCAATCACAATACATGTGAAGCACTATGTGGCATTGTCTCTGGACCAACCAATAACTTCTCGTATTATTTGAGGTGTTCAAAATAATAGAATAAATTTCAAATTTTAAAATGAAGTATCCAAAGTATTGGGATGTCCAACCAATCTTTTAGGGTGCAAATAAAATAACCCGTTAGTTTGATATTAAATTTAAGATAAATTATAAATACATCACCTGAAATTTACTTAAAATATAAATTGTCACTGTAATTTTAAAAATTATATCCCGCTCTTCAAGTTTATAATCGCTAGAGGTGGCAAATGGGCAGATATGGACGGGTTTGGGCGGGTCAAAATGAACCTAAACACGCCCAGTAATAAATGGGCATACACGAGCTAAGTTGAATTTGATACGAATTGGATAAATAAACACAACCAACCCATTTACTTTCTCTTTTTATTTTTTTTGAAAAAGTTTTAAATTTTAATTTTTTTTCATTTTCTTTAAAAACATTTATTATTTTTCGATTTATTTATTATTTTAAAAAATATATTTTAAAAATTTTAGAACGGGTGGTAGAAGTGGTGCCCATTTTAGAATGGGTGGTAGAATGTCTAACCTGTGTAAACCCAATTAATGTAACGCCCTGAAATAATTACAA